TGGCCAGCAGCAGCCTCCTCACCCTGCCCCTGACCCCAGCTTCCTTCCCTCCAGCGCATCACGTGCAGGCTGGCTGTCAGCTGCGCCTGCCCCTGAACCAGCCTCATTTCTTTGCTTTTCCAGCTCTGCTCCCGTCTGCCCGCTGAGGCCAGCGTCTGCTTCCTGTTGGTTCAGAATGCAGGTGGGAGGCGGAGAGCTCGCCCGCGCGCTGTAGCTAGCCCCCGACCTCTCCTGACCCCCGCGTTCCCATGTGCAACGCGTGGGGTTTGTGAACCACAGTATCTATCTTGGCAATCGCCTCTGACTCGGATGAGACAGCATCTCTGCACACGGCTCTGGCATCAAACATGATTTGCAGATACTGGGGAGGGCAAGGACAGGTCACGGTGGGGCAGGCTCGCTCGGGTCCCCAGGGCGAGAGGAAGCCCTCCCGAGGAGATCGCCCCTTCGGCACAGCCTCTCTAGCTTTCCGGAACACGGCAGCTTTCTGTCTTTTTTGTTGTGATGTAGATTACATGCAGTAATGCGCACTGATTTTTGAGAGAGGGGAACTTGGGCAAATTGCACAAACGTCTTTATACCTGCTGTGTGGTATTTTCTGTGACTGCACTAACAGATTGCCACAAACAGAGGAGCGCCTTCAAAGTTACCAAATTTATTATCTTACAAGTTCGACACGAATCTTATTAGACTTAAAAGGAAGGTAGCAGTCGGGCTGCCTTCCGGGCTGGAGGGTCCAGGACAGAGACCGCTCCCTTGCTGTTTGTAGCTTCTAGAAAGCACCCATATCCTTGACCAGTGGCCCCTTCCTCTGTCTAACTCCACAATTGGAACCAGAATCCTCCTCACATTGCTTCTCTCCCGCCTCCCTCTGGGATTTTTAAGGACCCTTGTAGTGATGCTGAGCCCCTCTGAGAAATCTAGGATTACCCGCTTACTTCAAGATAAACTGATGAGCGAATTTTATTCCATGTGCTGCATTAATTCCACACTGCTGGGCACGGTGACACAGGGGTTAGCATGGGAGGGGTCTTTGAGGGGGCCGTTATTCTGTCTCTCATACCTGTGTCATACTTTCTAGAAGGCTCTTTCACTCCAGAACACACTCTCATTCTCCTTTGTACCTTCCCCTCACACCCCTAGGGACAGTTGCCATTTTTATTCTGGATCTGTCACCTAGCATTGCGCACTGTAAACCAGAGTTATGCAGAAGGGTTTCTTAACACCTGCCAAGTGGGGAGAAATTTGAAGAGGTAGAATCTTTCTGTGACTGTTGGCTTCTGGCTCGCCTGGGCCAGGAGCTGAAATAAATTCAGGCAGTAAAGGGGGTGCATGGCCGGGAGGCTGTGTACCTGCTGTGATCTTAGGTCCCTCCCTAGGAGCCATTCCTAAGGACAGTGCTCCCATTCCCCCTCCCAAGCCCTAGGCTGGGGGGTGATGCTGGACAGGTTTAGTGAACAGATCCAGAAGCACCTCATCAGCCATCAGTAACTGTTAGTGAGCGTGGAGGTTGCTCTGGTTAGCCTATTGGCCTCTGTGACCACCATGCTGTGTTATTATGATGCCCATTTTAACAGATGAAGAGAGTAAGGCATCCAGGACATTGCGTTTACCAGTGATATTTGGTAGTTAAGTGGCAGACCCGGCACCCAGAACTCCGTGATGTCAGGAACAGCGTTCTTAGGCTATCCCAGCCTCTTTTGAGCCGCCATCATTGTGGCCTTTCTGTGTTCTGCTGGTGCAGGGACAGTAACAGCTGGTGTGGGCAGCAGGCCCACGCCTCGTGCTTCATGGACACTGTGGTAGCCTTTCACCTGAGCTCAGAGAGGCTGGGCAGTCGGCACGCTTCCTGGAGCCAGTGAGGGTCTTTAATACAGACCCTAGTGGTAGTAGGAGAGCCAGCCCTTCTGACCCCTCTGTTAACAGCCATTCCTTCCCTTGCACACTGATGCTTTTTCTCCTGTCGCCTGACTGAAACACCTGTCACCTGACCACACCCAGGGACCTTGGCTGGAGTCTATACCACTGAAGCTCCTCGCACCCCACCCCCCCACTCCAGTCACTACACTATTTTCATCTTGGTTTTCTAAGCAACTTCATGTTTTGTGAACTCTGGTGCATTTTATCGAGCTTGTTCTGTGGATAAATCAGCTTTCCTGCCCCTGAGAGGCTGACTGAGGACTGGTATAAATAATGCAGAAGAAAGAAACCAGCCATCGCAGAAACATACAGAAGAGCCAAATCCAGGAGTCCTTTGCCCTTCTCGTCTTTCAGAAGCACCTCCCTTACCCAGCAGGTGTCAGCTGACCTGGGCTGGGTCACTCCGCTGGCAGCTGCACCAAGTGCTGTGGTTTGAAGCAGGCGGTCTCTATGTGTGCTGCATCAAGCTGTTACGGATGACTGATGGCAGACTTCACTGCTATATAATTTGCCTGGGTTGAGGTGCTTTTGTTTTCCAACATGAACTGATTGTCTCCCAAGTAGCTGTAAAGCTGTGGCAGGTGTAGGGAGCTATCCAGAGGGGGGACTGCCTTCTGGGGGACCCCCCCACCCTGGGCATTAGGAAGCCATCTCCAGTGACCCCTGCTGTGGGAAGATGCAGTAGGGCTGCTCACAGTACCTGATGCACAGCCCAGTCCCCGTGATTGAGCAGCTGCCATTGGTTCATGCATGCATTGGCTCTAAAACAGGTATAGACCTTGGTTTCTGATATGTGAGCAGTTTTCCAGAATTTTCTTACTTGGTGGTATTTGTCCTGACCACTTCATGTAAGAAGTATCTGATTGGGGGATCCATCCTCAAGGAGCCAGGAAATACTGGGTGCTGTGATCCTTCTTTGGCCAAATGACTATAGTGGGTCCGCTGTGTGCTGAGTCTCTTGGAGGTACTCTGGTGGTGGTTGCTAACCAGAGATGAGGCACCTGCCTTCACAGGCGCGGCTCACACTGTGCGCTAGCACGTGAACCTCAGCACCACAGTGTGCTGTCCCCGTGCTTTGTGGCTGTGGGGTACAGAAGAGGGCAGGTGAGGGTTAAGCCGGTGGCCTGGGGCTACGGTAAAGATGGCCTTGCTGGGGAGAGAAGAAGAGGCATGGGGTTTCAGCTGCATGGTAGTCAGGCAGAGCTGGAGCCCAGGTAGAGGCCAAGGGATGAGGCAGAGGGTCTAGCCATGGGCAGAGGCAGGAGCAGCAAGAGAATGAGGGCAGTTGGCATCGAGTGTCGGCTCAGGGCTGTGTCTAACAGACTCTTAGTTCCCTCCCCCAGAGAGAGTTGGTTATTAGGATGATTGTGAATTGCGCTGCCAGCTCCGGGGAAGGGGGTCCTGGTACGGGGAGGATCTGGTCCCTTTTTGCTCACTATTATGTATCATTTGTTTGGTGCCGTGCCCAACTCATGACAGGTACACAGTAGTGCTAGATGAAATAGTAGGAAACAGAAAAGCAAAGGGAACAAAGGACAATGGAGGACTCTCAAGACCTCCTGGAGGAGGTTAAGAATGCTAAGCAGCCAGTGAGGTGGAAACTTGAACTTGTTACAGGGCACTTGGGAGTGGCTGGAGGAAGGGAGAGAGGGGATACAAGGAGAGAGTACAAATAGGAAGAATGGATTCTGGGGTTGAATGTAGGAAGCAGCCAGAAGTCAAGAATAGTAAACACAGGGCTGGGAAGGTGGCTCAGTGGTGGAGCGCTTGCCTTGCATGCCTGAGGCCCTGGGTTTGATTCCCCAGCACCACAAAAGCAAAAAGAAAAAAGGCCAGAAGTGGCACTGTGGCTCAAGTGCTAGCCTTGAGCTGAAGAGCTGAGGGACAGCGCCCAGGCCCAGAGTTCAGGCCCCATGACCAGACCCCCCCCCCCCCAAAAAAAAAATAGTAAACAGAAGAAAGGCCACAATCATGAAGTGCCCTGTGGGCAGATGGGATGGGTAAGAGTTGACCTCCTGGCCAGGACCAACATGGGCACATGGCTAAATTAGCTTATGGAAACCTGGTGGCTCTCAGAGGGGTCAGGGGACTGCTAAATCAGGGATAGGGACCGTGAAGGGTGAGAGTTGGAGGAGGTGTTGGGCGTTTAGGTAGGAAGATTGAGATTTGTTCTGGGGAATGGAAGCATAAGACTTCCATATATAGGATTCTATCATTCCTAAAGGAAAGATGGGAAATTGGCAGAAAGATCTCCTGGGAGAAGCAAATATATTGTTTGGAACTTTGTTTTATCCCTTTAGAAATGACCGTATTGTATTTTTATGTAAATAATTCACAACAGTGTGGTGCTTGCAAGGGGGTGAAAAGCGAATACTCACAAATGAAGTTGAGATACCATATTGTGTTTTTACATCAGCAATGTATACAATTGCTTGCAGTGGCTCCCAAAAAACACATGCATATCCAAGAGGCAAGCTACCTGGGAACTCTGAGCCACAAACCTAGCCCAGGGCTTCTGTGCACCTTACTCGTCACTGGAGCTCTGGGATCACCGCAGCCCTCCGTCAGTCTGGGCAGCTCTGAGCTCCTGTGAATCTGTGCCTCCCCGAGCAACTTTCCCATTTCAGTCTCACTCACGGGCTTGTTATCCCTACCTCTGAACAACACAGGTGGCACATTTCATTGATGTATGCATCAGTCATGGGGCTGTGAATGGAGGAGACCACCCTGCAATAACCACCGTTAACATTTTCCACATCCATTGCCAGTGGAGGTGTTTGTGTGCAGGGCAGGAGGGCTGAATCCTCTTGGCTGAAGTCTGCCAATAAGGCCAGTCATGGGTGGCTTCCACAGCACGTGGCTGATCCAGGCACGGAGGTTTGTTTTAAAGGTTCCATGCGGAAAACCTTCAGGCCTCACATCCCAGAGGAGGAGTGTGTGGAAGCAATACTGGGCCTAACTCTACTCCTAGGTCACTTGTGTGTTTCACAGCTGCCTCCGATCTCTAGGACATTTCGGGGGGTCTTGGGTTCGGCGGCTGCTCTGTCTGACAGTTGAACGTCTTTGTTTTTCTTTGGCAGCACTCTTTTTTCTGCCGGTTGACAGAAGACAAGAAGTCAGAGAAGTTCTTTAAGGTCTTTTATGATCGAATGAAGGTGGCCCAGCAGGAGATCAAGGCGACAGTGACAGTGAACACCAGTGACTTGGGAAACAAAAAGAAGGACGATGAGATAGACAGGGATGCCCCGTCCCGGAAAAAAGGTAATGTCGTGCTCTGAGGTTTTCTGTCAGCTGGACAGGGATCCACAGCACAGCCCTTAGTCTCTCTTGATGCTCTCCATGACCTCGAGACTCCAAGATGCTTTCGGATAGGAGTTTGTAAAAGAAAGCAACCAAAGTGGGCATCCTTGGAAGTGCTGCTTCTTAGAAGGAAGGGTCATCTCATTTAATAAAATAGTCAAAAAAAATTATTCTTGGTCATGCTACGGGTTTTACTGACCTATTAAAATTCGTGTGTGTGTGTGCGTGTGTGTGTGTGTGTGTGTGTGGCACTGGGCTTGAATGCAGGAAGGACCACACACTTCCTAGACAGGTAGGTACTGGACCCCCCCCCCCCCCCAGCTCTTTTTGCTTGAGTTTAGGTCTTGTGCTTTTGCCTAGCCAACCTCAGACTGTGATGTTCCTACTTCAGCCTCCCAAATAACTAGGATGATAGGTATGCACCACTGTGCCTTGCCAGAGATCCCTCAGTATTCATCGCCTGTGATTTCCATTTCATATGAAAGGAAGTTGAGGGAATACATGCTGTGTTGGTCAGGTAGTTTATCCTTACTTCCTAAAGTAGCAAGTTTTTCACCCATGATCTGACTGGAAGCCAAGCAGTGCTATGGAGTGTGTAGACCCACAGGTTTTGGAGTCAGACAGCCCTGAGCAAATTACTCAACCACTGTGAGCCTCACTTTTCATATTTAGCACTGGGTTTCTCAGCCACAGCACAACTCACATTGCAAGAGCCCTTTGCTGTCGGAACTTTCTTGTGTACAGTCACTCGGGTGAACTCTGACCAGTTAGATGCTTGTAGCACACCCCGCCCCAGCCACAAATGTCTCCAGACATTTCCAATTGGGTAGGGATAGGGACACAATCACCCGACTGTAACTACTAGTCTAGAATAGAGATTAAGAGAAGAAAAATGACTACCATTTACTAAGTGCTTAGGATGAGTCATGTTAGCTATCGTCACTATAACAAACACCTGAGGTGAGTCAGCGTAGAAGAGAGGAAAGGTTTATTTGGATTTCCCTCCTGGAATTTTCAGCCCATTATTATTGATTTGTGTTACCCTGAAGTCTAACCCAAGACAAAACCATCGTGGCAGGAGCATGCTGGCAGGGTGAAACCAAAACTGGCGACAGGGAAGCAGGAAGAAAAAGAGAGAAGATATCCTCCCCCCCAGTCCCCTTCAAGGACACACCACAGTCACCCGTGACCCCTCATAAAGCCTACCTCGTGCGGGTTTCAATACCTTCCGGTAGCGCCGCAGACCTTCAGCACACGGGCTTTTGGGGGACATTTCACATCTAAACTAGCCAGGTTGGGCCCTGTTCCTATCCTGTCTGAGACCTGGGGGGCGGGGGGACCCCTTGGGCTGTTCTGCCCAGCTGGCCTGTCCCTGGCAGGTGCAGGAAGCTGGGGTTCCGACAGCCCCCCTTTGGCATATGCGTGGCGCTCCAAGGGTGCTGTGGCTTTATCTTCTAGCCAAAGAGCCATCCCCGCAGATCACAGAGGAGGTCCGCGATCAGCTCCTGGAGGCGTCCGCAGCCACCAGGAAAGCCTTCTCCACCTTCAGGAGGGAGGCCGACCCCGACGACCACTACCAGCCAGGGGAGGGCGCCCAGGCCACCGCTGACAAGGCCAAGGACGACCTGGAGATGAGCGCCGTCATCACCATCATGCAGCCCATCCTGCGCTTCCTGCAGCTCCTGTGCGAGAACCACAACCGAGACCTCCAGGTAAGGGCCGGGGGAACAGGGGGGACCCTGAGACCTGCGGCGGAGGGTTTGAGAGGTACCCCCAAGACCTATAGGTGAAGCCTTGGGTAGGACCCCAAGACTTGAAGCTGAAGAGGGACTGGGTGGGAGCCCTGAAACATTATCCTGCAGGTAATGGATTCAGAGGTAGGGGATAAATAATGACCTCCTTTCTCAGATAAGGAAACGGAGGCCTGGACATGCAGCTACAGGGTGGTGGGAGCTGGAATTTGAACCCAAGCCAGGTGGCCCAGGCATTATGCCTGCAGCCCCTGCGCCCCTCCTATGCCTTGGGTTTCTCGCGGGGTTGTGGGAGGACCAGATAACGTGGGGTCTTGGCATTTTGTAAACCGTGATGAGGCTTGTGATTCGCACCGTGGTGCCTGACCCACTCCGCTGTCATAGACCAAAGCACCCTAAGCTCTGAGCTCTTGTCACAGCTGCCCAGCACATTTGCTGCTGTCCCTGTGTCTCAGGATCACTGCTCCTGATGACATCCACCCTTCTCTCAAGCTGTACCACTGCTCATGAGGGCCACCGGCCCTCCCCTAGGGGACTGAGCGGCCCCCAGGGAGCAGCTGCCACGGTGCAACTTCATAGGCTGCACTTGAGGATCAGGGCCCTCAGTGGCTCTCCTGGAGATGTCACTGGTGAAGCAGGAGTGTGGCATACCCAGGAATACCTGCTTCGTACCCTTCCCTGGAGGTCATAAGATCTCATCTACCTTCCATCTGAGTGTCCATGAAGTGTCCATGACAGGAGCCCCTTGGACCAAGCAGAGACCGCAGTTGACAGTGCTGAGTGTCGAGACCAACTCGTCACAGTGGGGTCAGAGGGGAGGCCCAGGGAGGCGGATGGCTGTTGAGTTCTGTGCTAATCAAACGCAGGCTTGTTCCATGTGTCGGAAGGGCAGGGCTAGGTGGACTTACGGTCTTGGAGTTGCGGTTTGGGAGACCTGCCATTCTTTCTGTCTCCCATCTTCTCTCCTTCCCCACCCTACCCACTTTCCATCCACTGTGGAAGGCAGATCAGGTTGTAATTGTATGCATTCTGCAATGCCATCCCTTCTTATTTGGAAATCTTCAGCAGTGTAGTTTTGTGCCATTGCTCTTCACCAAACTAAAACAATTGCCTTGCAAACCTGTGGGCAGGAGCGCCTTTCAATACCCTCCCCTCGCCTACAGGAGCCCCGCAAGGCTGGGAGAGGGGGCGGGGGAGGACATTCCAGGGTGTATGGACCAGAAGGGTGCAAAATCCAGCTCTTGGGGTGACTTGCCCCAGTGAAATTACACGTGGAGAGATGCAGTTCCTACAATGATTTTTGTAAAAAGTGGAATTCAACTACACCGAATGCCACACTCCTGGCAGTTGGGGAACAGATGATGGGTCATGGGGTGGGGGTTTCCTCGTGAGTTGGGGGGAGGAGCGGGCGTCTGAGGCAAAGTCACCGGCTCCCTGGTGGACAGCATGCAGACGAGCTCAGGGAGAGGAAGCACTGGCCTTCTGAATGAACAGCCGTCTCTGGACTCCCGCCAGAGCTTCCTGTCGTATTTATAACCTTAACTTTCTTCCTGTTGGTAAATGTTCAGGAGACAGAAAGCCACTGAGCTTGTCTTTGCCAAAGGGGCTGTTACTAGCCTGCTTAGCCAGAAACTCAATGGGAGGATCAGGCTTGAATCAGTTTGCACATGGTTTCAGGTGTGCCTCTGGCTAAGACCCCAGCCCCACCCCCAAGTGAACGAAAGCAGGGTCTGTGTCAGCACGAAGTCTTGTATTCATTTTATCCCCCCCCTGTGGATTAGATATCATCTAGCCTGCACTCTCCCAGGAAGACCCCCAAAAGAGTAGGATTTTCCCAGCCTGGCTGACACTGAACAGCTTGTGGTGGCAGTGAATCGGAAGCGCTGGGGCCTGCCTCCGGGAGAGGCACAGCGCCGTGTCACAGAGGGCTGGAAGAAACGGGTCTGAGTGAGGGCGGGGGCGATTCCCAGCTAGACACTGTTGAGACCCTGAGTGAGGGCGGGGGGGGGCGATTCCCAGCTAGACACTGTTGAGACCGTGAGAGACTGACTGGACCTCGTGGGGCGTTCAAAACATGTGTGCCTCATGGGACTGGAGACTTCCCTGACTCCCTCTTCTCCGTCTCTTTGAACTCATAGCCGGTTGCCATCCACGTAGACATGAGCCCTGGGCAAGCTGCCAGGTACCCTCCGTTGTCATCACGTGTGCACAGAGCAGAGGCTTAGCCTGGAGGGCCCCCATTTCATGGGTGTTGGGAGTTGGGAGGGAGGGCCTCCTGGGGGAAAAAAAAAAAGACTTTAGATCACAGCTAAAAGAAGAGGAATGAGGTTGGAGGAGAAAGGAGCAGGCTTAGGGAGTCATGTGTTGGAAGCCCCAGCTGCAAGAAAATAAAAAGTACTTGACAGAAAGGAACCCACTGCTGCCAGCCACAGTGGGGCATGATGGGAGCAGTGACCACAGCCTTGAGAACTAAGCTGTAGACAACCAGCCAATCAGGGCATGCCTGCTTTGAGCATCCTCTGCTCCTGCACCATGAGAGGACAGCCAAGTAGCAACTTCCCACCTCCACCGAGCCAGGCTTCTCCCTCCTTAGCGCGAGAGAGAACCACTGTGGAGCACTCCCAAATCATCTCTTAGAGAACGCAAGGGACTTGGATGAAGTTAGAGATGTGGGTTAGTTTGGTGGCAAAACAGCATTGAACCTGACCACCAACTCATAACCGGCTTTCACCAAATGCCTACATTGTGCAAGGGCTGTGTGAAGATACTTCTTTCATAAACGTTCAAGTGAAAATAAGTAATTAAGAAGAGTTCTTCTTTCCATAGAGAACATTCCAGCCTTTTTTGCTGAATATTTGAATGGGAACATTGCACATCACTGTCATTTGCATCATGTCCTAATCTCTTTGCCGCTTATTGTTGTTGGAGTTTTTCATTTTGTTTTTGTTTCTGTTTTTGATTTTTACCTCATTGCGGGCACAGGTATCTTTCCGCATTGGCACATTCTATATCTACTCAGTGTTCTCGTTTCTCATGATGTGTTTTATAGTCCCTCCACGGTGCACGGGCCCATAGGCGGCGGCCTTCCCCACGGTGGCAGGCAGTGCTGTGGTGAACAGTCACTCCCCGCTTACATTTCAAAGACCATCTCCAGTTATTTATCTTTTGCTTATTTCTGGTTTTTGTTTTTTGTTTTTTTTTTTGTCGGTCATGGGGCTTGAACTCTGGACCTGGGCGCTGTCCCTCAGCTCTTCAGCTCAAGGCGAGCGCTCTACCACTTGAGCCACAGCGCCACTTCTTATTTCTGTTTTGTGTTTCCCACTTTCTAGACTAAACCTTGTCACTTTGTATCTATGAGATAAAGAATATTGCAGTTAATTTCTGCTTCTTTAAAAAATAAAAATAAAAAGAAATCGCATGCATACACATCACTGGAGCCTCTGACAACAAGCTCTTCTCCATGGAAGTACTCTGTTTTATGAGGTAGTTGAAGGCAATTTTCCTTCATTGGGTGCGGAAGTGCCTCGCCCTGTGTCTCTTGTTAACATTACAGGTCAACCTGGGGAGCACATATCCTGATACTGCACGCATGCACACACGTTTACCCCCTTCCTTCCTGTGCATGGAGGAAATGGCCAACCAAGAGAAGCCGCCCTCCCTCCATAGCACTGGGCTTGTCTTGGCCTCTGACAGCTCACATTGTGGTAGACTGTCCCTGATACTGGACTCAAGGTGTTCATTACTCAGCCCCCACCATCATTTTAAACAAAGCCACCATCCAACCCTCTAGAAATCTCAGATGCTCTAAAACACGTGATGAGAAGCTGGTGAACAGGGATGAGCAAAAGGGATAAAGAGTAAATGAGAGCAAGGCGCTCCGTTAGTGGCCACGTCCACAGACCAAAGCCATAGCTTAAGTATCAGACTTTCCCCCCGATGCATCTGTCTGCATAGTTGTTGATCAATCCAAAACACTCACATGTTCAAAAACCAAGATGGCAGCCTGGATGACTTCTTCCCCTCTCTCTCTGCCTCTTGCTCCCTCAAACCCCGGTGCTGACCACCGGCAGAACTTTCTCCGCTGCCAAAATAACAAGACCAACTATAATTTGGTGTGTGAGACACTGCAGTTTCTGGACTGCATTTGCGGAAGCACTACCGGAGGCCTTGGTCTTCTTGGACTGTACATAAACGAAAAGAATGTTGCACTCATCAACCAGACCCTGGAAAGTCTGACAGAGTACTGCCAAGGACCTTGCCACGAGAACCAGGTAATCCCTTCTGTTTGGGTTGGGGTGGAGGGAGGTGTCAGTCATTTGGAAATGCAAACAGAGATAGGTTCAGAAGTCACGTGCATCTGCCTGTTGGCCTGGCTATTTCCCAGCAGTGGAAAGGGTCCCTAGCCTTGTATGGTACATCAGGACTTTACCCTGTTGGGCAATAGAAAGTTGTGCTTTTTAGCCCCTTTACTTGACATGGTTTGGCTTGATTTGGTTTGACAATCCAATAATAACTTGACTTTGGGGGTTAGTGCAGGAGGATGGAAATCCCAAAGTGGTTACTTGAACGGGGGTAAACCTAGCTAGAAAGAGAGAAACAAAATTCGCTTCATATTGAACAGCTTGAAAGTTGAGAGTAATTTTGGTTGAGATTTTAGCACTGTGCACTATCAGGGAAAGGAAAGAACAATGTATCTTGACTTTGGCTTCCCCAAACAAGTGTGGTTTGGGAATGGAGCTCAGTTCTTTTCTTTTTCTTGAGTTAGCGTCATTGCTTATAGATGGCATCTTGAAGTCTGTGAGTTTTGATCTCCAGGCCAGGCTGAGTAGGATTTTGTAACCACTCCGTAGCTTCTTCCTGGAGAGAGAGGGCACAGCAGGGCTAAAGCTGGTCACTTCTGAACCCCAGGCCATGGAAGGTGTGAAATGAGGAGGGATTTGGGAGAATCAGGGCCTTCACCCAGAGGAGAGCCATTCACAGGAGACAGCTCACTGTCTACGAAAACCCCCTGAACATGGGGATCCCATTTGGCTAGATCCTCTTCCCTTCACCGTTTTCCTGGTGGAGCACATGGCCAATTCCTAGTTACAATGAAGTAAGAGTACGGAAATGCAGTGGGCTTGGGGAAAGGACTCTCTGTGATATCAGAGTGAACCTTGTTAGAACTTTGTTGGCTTTTCTGCAAAGCAGAAGCCTGTTGAACGCAACAGACTGGACTGGATTAGAGCGTGCCGCAAATGTGGGGGGGGCGGGTCCCCTACCTGGGAGAAGAAGATGATTCATTTTGCTATTGTGTGAATAAACCAGAAGCTTGCTTTCCAAGCTTCAGCTTTTAAGCACAAGCACGAAATACGCAGAGTGACGTAGTAAGAGTGGAACCCACTCTTAAAGGGGAAAAAGAACCTAGATCCCACTATCAGTCATACACCACATTTTTCTTAAAGAACAAAAGCTGTCCCCACCGTCGTGTTTGGATGAGATGCGGCTAGTTTATCAGTTGGCAAGTAGAGGGACTTTCCTACTGTTTACTGTTAATTCTGAAACTAGAGATTTTCATCTGTCTGTCTTTTTTCTTTCTTTTTTTTTTTTTTTTTTACCACTTTCTCACGGAAAAATTGCTCCCTGAGAAACAGCCCTGGGAGTAGTGAGCATTGTGTTGAAATAGCAGCTCGGCCCGCTGGCCGTGTGACTGAGGGCCAGCGTTTGTGTAAAGGTCTGTGTGCTGTCTTGTTTCCGCAGAACTGCATAGCCACCCACGAGTCCAACGGCATTGACATCATCACGGCCCTGATCCTCAATGACATCAACCCTCTGGGAAAGAAGCGGATGGACCTGGTGTTAGAACTGAAGGCAAGTAGGCACTGAGCAGCAAAGAGGTGTTCGCCATTGGGAACAGTCGCTCTTCCGTTGTGTCTCGGGCATGAGACATGGTCAGTGTTAGACAAGTACCATAGGCAGTTCGGACTGAAAGAGTGATCCGAGTTGCACGAGCTGACTGAATGGCAGAACTTCACTGGTTCATTTCCAAAGAAGTTAGGACTGTGAGGTCACGGAGTGCCACTCGAAGATGAGAAAGAATATAATATATCCAGGACCCAAAGCCTCCATTCTGGATGGCACGGACAATAGAAATGCCATTTGCTCTGGTTTCTGAATTTTCTCCCCTTGGAGAAGGAAAAAGGACCAGGTGACAACTGGTCAGCTAACAGTATATCTAAGTCTACCTAGAACCTCAGAAAAAGAAACCCCCAAATCTCTTTTTACTTAAAACATAGATCTAGCAGAAAAGTGATTGATTATGTCAGTGTAAAACAAAGGCAGGAAGTGGAGCTGTGACTCAGAAGTGATAGATAGAGCATTAGCCTTGAGTAGAAAAGCTCAAGAACAGTGCTCAGACCCTGAGTTCAAGGCCCAGGACTAGCACACACACAAAGCCAAGAACCTCCCTATGCACAGGCGAACTTGTCAATTTTCCTGACAAGTTTCTTTGAATTATTGCTAGCGGAGGACTTCAGGTGGCTGATACTGGAGCAGCCCTATAAACACTGAAATAGTTTTAGGAGTGAAAGCAGTGACTTCAAGGTGCTTAAGCTACAGGCTTTACAGGCCAACCTCATAGATGCCTTGAGAGACTGGTAGAGTGTTCCTGGTAGTGATTTCTAAAGGGTGTCCCCAAGCCTTCCTTCTGTTTAGGGGTTCCAGGATCCAGTTCTGAAAACTGAACCTGTAAACCACCCAAGTGTCTGCAACGTGTCTGGAAATGTGTTGATACTACCAGATGCACTTTCTCTTATCTGTTCCCATGTGGGGGCGTGTGGAGACCTGTCCTCTGTCGATACCCATCCGCAGTAGCAAGCATTTATCACTACAATGAAACACCTAGAACTTCCGGGGTCAGCTGACGAGCTGGTCTGCATTTCCTGCATGGAAGGCAGGCGTCATAGGAATGAAAGGCTTTTGGAAAGTGTTATCACAGAAGGAAATGAATGGCACACTTATTTTTATTTTTCCTCTATCATTTAGAACTGAGAGTCCAAATTAATAGATTTGGGTATGTCGTTTAAATGCATTTTTGGCTATGTTTAGCTCCTTCTGACACATGCTTTAGACTCAAATATCGTTCAAGTCTCATGCACCTGACTTCCGTTTACCCTAAAGTACACAATGGGAGATTGAAAGAGACTGAAATGTTCATGTACTTCTGGTTGGCTTTTTTTTTTTTTATGAATCTAGCAATCTAGGATCCTGATTAAGAAGAAAAAAAAAATCTGCCCTGTGATAGCATAGCTGCCCAAAGGCAAAAGAACTTCCGAATCTTATACACAAGGAAACATGCAAAGTTTAGGCCGTGGCGTCATCAGGAAGCTCAGGGTCTGCTGGGCTGGGAAGCGTGGCAGGCATGCGGGGTTCCTCTGGGTCACTTTGGTTGCCTAGCATCAGCTATACTCATAACAGGAGAAGTTACAAGCGCAGATAGAAGAGGTTTTTTAAGACAGGGAGGAATTATCTTTATTGCCTGTCCTCTCTGACCCACAAGACTGAATAACAACGTCAGCAACTACCCAGGCAGAGGAAATGCCCCCTCCAGCCCTGAAAATGTCATGGGTTCGTGTCTAGCAGGTTCTTCGTGACCACTGTCACCGGGCGGGTGACGGCATGCAGTAAGGCCGCTGTATTCATAGGTTCGGCCAACCCCAGGATCAAAAGTACCCAGAAAAGCTTGCATCTTTACCTGAGGGAGCACCTTGCTTATCATCGCTGCGTCAGCAGTGCAGTGTAACTAAGACCTTGCGCTGTGTTGTTCTAGCTAGTATAAGTGATCTTGGGATGAAGTAGATGAAGGAGAGGAATGTAGGTTTTAGGTGATGTTGCATAAGGGAGTTGAGCTCCCCCCACCCCTTGCCGCCCAGGCACTGAGGGGAGACTGTCCCCCACGAGCACCCACATCTCAGTTTCCGTTCCTGCCAGGACTTGTACCAGCTAACATTGGGGCATCACGCATGGACCGTAACCATGCTGTGCCTCCTTGCCGCAAGCTAGATTCTGACCCCCGTTTCCAGGGTCGGAAGAGCTGCCTCCTCTGCCTGGCGCAGAGGCTGTGATGCCCCTGGCCCGGGGGCCAAAGGCCCGGCTGTGGAGCTGGGGTGCACACGCCTGCAGCCAGGCCGGCGCCCGGCGGCACGTCCACGTTTCTCCCCTTGCCTCTTCCATCCAGAACAATGCTTCCAAGCTGCTCCTGGCCATCATGGAGAGCAGGCACGACAGCGAGAACGCCGAGAGGATCCTCTACAACATGAGACCCAAGGAGCTGGTGAGTCGAGTCGGGTGACTGGCTCATGACTCAGGCCGCCAGGGAACGTTAGAGGGAGCAGATCAGCCTCCTTGAGCCTCTCTGAGATCTCCCAACTTAGAAGTATAAAGAGAGCATTTAACTCAGGCCTCGGGCTGAGGAGAAAAAAACCACATTGGACATGTGGTATTTTGCCCTCTCCTGTCAGTACTGACTGTTTGGGGGGGAGGGAGGGGGAATGTTCCTCCTCTTTTTTTCCTCACGGAGAAGAGCGCAGAGCCTGGTCAAGGATCCCAGCAGGCCTGAATTCAGCTCCACAGCTCTCCTACCCTCTGTGCTGTGTCACCGTGGGCAACTTTTGGATGTCTCTGAGCCACTTTCCTGATCCCTGAAAGAGGTTATACACTGAAAGGTGGTTTTCAAGTCTAGATGAGACACTTCACGCCAAACCTAGCATGAGACAAGTCCTTTGTGCACTGAGAGCCCTTTCCTTCCATGGCTCTCTTCATGGCTGCTACTTTGGCCTCAGCTTTGTCCAGAACTGAAGCGTTCACAGCCGTTCTTGGCACCCGTGTAGTTTGGAGGCTGGCAGTGGTTTTTGTCTTTGTGGTTTTTTTTTGAGGGGTGCTATTCACGAAGGGCTGTGACTTCCAGCTTGGGAGTTTGCTGTTGCAGACTGTGAGACAAACACTGTTCAGCAACAGCAGTACGGGGCAGAACTCTCTATTTGGACTCCACCCCTCCCCCCCCCCCCCCCCCCCCACTTCATGCAATAAACTGACAGACTTAAACAAGGGCATGAATACAGACCTGAAATGCGCACTGGAGACCAGGCCAAAGTCCCTTTATATATCACTTTAAATAAAGTTCACAGGAGCCCAGTCCTTTGATCTGGGAGGTCATGGAGGGAGTTTCCTGCCGGACACGGGAGTCCTGTGTTTTACATAACTACTTATGTAAGTGACGGTCGGTGGCGTCCAGGGTATGCCCGTCCAAATGACCTTGAAGAGACCCTGGTCAGGTGACCACGAACCAAGAATGAGCCTCAGGACTTCCGGACTCCCCTGAGTGGGGAAATGGCAGCACCCGGGCTGTGGCTGCCGCCAGGCCCCCAGGGTGGCCCTCTTGTGGTTGGAGATCATCATTCTGGATCATGGGAAGAGTCAGAGGCTCCCCAGGACAAACTGGGTTCTAAGAATCCAAACAGAAAGGGAAACTGGGATATCCAGAATGTATGCGTGCATGCATGTGTGCGGGCACCCACATGTGTATGTGTGTCCGTGTGTGCCCTGCCCCCACCACCTGTGCAGCATGTTTGTTTGATTTGGTATTAGAACCGGCAGGAAAGCAAGCTCAGAGAGCAGGGCTCTTGCCTGCAAAGTCAAACCCAGCAGCTTGACCTGGCATCCATGCCGATCTGTGTAGCTCTCTGCCACACAGAGGAATCATTGGGCAATGAGAAATCATTCAGAATAATGGCCTGGCAGCAGTACAGGAGGCCGAAACACCTCCTGCATCATCAAAGAAAATGAATAATTTTTGGTATAGCTTATGACTCTCGGACTAGTTAAGCCGAAATGGTCTGTCCATTTAGCCAAACTGGACAGGCCCACCTTTGTGCTGAGGACTAGAAGAAGGATTTGAATATGAGCAGCCTTGACCCCTGCTCTTGGGAGCTGGGGTGAGTGGGAACAGCCCACAAGTACAGAAATTGTTCTACGAAGCATGCTCAGAGCCTGAGATGAGTGCTCAGGGTGCAGCGGGGGGGTTGGGAGGGGGGAGCAGCTCAGGCAGCTGTGAAGGGTAATGGCCGAGTTCAAATCCCCACTCATTAACTATGACTTTAGCAGTGTTCTTTTATCTCCAAGTCTGTTTCCTCATCCATAACAAAGTGGGAATCTCTGGTACCTTGTAAAATGCTTGTGAATGTTAAACTTTTTAAAAGAATGATAAAATGCTAAGCCCAGTGCGTGCTCGGAGAGTGCACCACGTGACGCTCCATCCTCACATGCAGGGAAAATTCCCAAAGCTACTGGATGTCTTAGGTTTCCATGAAAGGGAAAGAGTTGGGATTCGAGAGAGTTGGTGGTAGGAAATACAGAGATAGGGAAAGTCTGCCTTCTAGGCAATACTTGTATCTTGTTTTATCATTTCACAGTGCTTTGATAGTCATTAACCCCTTTCTAGACTAGGTCTGAGCCAGTGATGAATGCCTCTTGGTCTACGTAGGGGGAAAGAGTTCACCTTCTCGTGGCAGTGGTGATAGGTGGTGACGGCTCTTGACAGCATCAGGGAGGATTCTGAGGCTGTCTGGCTGATGGTGGGCCGAGTGGGCCAAGTGGTCCCCGAGCTGGGGGCAGGCATGACCACCTGTGCTGTAAATGCCAGCCCCTTCACCAGACGTGTTGGCTTGGCCCTTCTTCCAGGTGGAAGTGATCAAGAAAGCCTACATGCAAGGCGAAGTGGAATTTGAGGACGGAGAAAATGGAGAGGACGGAGCTGCTTCCCCCAGGAACGTGGGCCACAACATCTACATCCTCGCTCACCAGGCATGGCCTCCCCGCGCCCCTCCAGACACTGCCCCCTACAGGGCCCGAGTTCCAAGCCAGACAGGGCCCCAGATGGGCTTTTCCTGGAAGGCTTTAAACCTAGGATCATTTGAACTACTGAGATTGTGGCTTGCAGTTGCCCTGGGCAACCTGCCCCCAAGGTGCTGGGTTGTTCCAAGACACTGCCATTTTCCCACTGCAGTGGGGGTTGAAGTACTTGGAAATCCCCAGGCTTCTTCCAAGCATCCAGCCCTGAGCTGTGGCATTAGATGCTTTATGACTTTGGTCTGGGGCCATTTGAAGGAGTCAGGCTTTCATAAACGCTAATGAGTTTCTCGTAACAACCTAAAGAAAACTTCAGCTTCCTGGCCTATCTCACTTGAAGATCTGTGGGAACCTGTCCTTCTGACTTCCTTCTGTTTGCCTTTCTGGGGATATGGTGATACTTCATGCCCTGGCACCAAAACACCACATTGCATAATTCTCTCCCCAAACTGGCTGTGTTTTGGAGCTTGCTTCCTCTTTTTGGGGCGCTGATGTGCTTTTGGGTGGAGATGGCCATGCGGTAGCCCAGCTGGAGACTCGTGTTTCCTGTTTCCTTCGTCCCTTTTAAACTCAGATAGAGGATGTGGGTGTAAACCGATGGCAGGGTCGGGCTAGAGATCGGCAGTTCCCTGCCCCTCGTACCGGCTGAAGGATTTCAAAACCCTTTTCCTCCCTGCAGTCCCTAGCCTCCAAGAGGCCTTTCTTCTGAATATTCTGTAGGGAAGACTCCATGGAGCTGCACCCAAAACGCCAGCCCCTCCTGCCTGGCTAAAGAAATCAAGGAAAAGTAGGACCCTACATGGGCACGAGCCTTCCATGCTTTTATGCCAGGTTCCCAAAATAGCCACCGTGCAAAGCACACTGGGCGGAAGGGAGCCAGCCTCCTGGCACCTTTGCCCTTCAGCTTGCTGCTGGGCATTATGTATTTGTTTAAGCTCACAGCTAGAGAGGAGCTCATGTATTCCTGCGACAAAGAGACACTGACCCCTGCATTTCCGTGCCTGTGTTCTAGTTGGCTCGGCATAACAAAGAACTTCAGACCATGCTGAAACCTGGCGGCCAAGTGGACGGAGATGAAGCTCTGGAATTCTACGCCAAGCACACGGCACAGATTGAGGTGAAAGCAGTCAGCCTAGGGCTTGGGAGGGCTGAGGCTTCGCGAGTTTGGCCTGAGGTCTCGAGATCTTCTGTGGACGATTCCCCCGTGCTGGAGCTCGCACACATCCACGCAAATGAGCAATGGAAAAGTTGTGAGCTGCATGGGTGCTGAATACCCAGTTATGTCCAGAAAAGTCACAGTGCCTGCTCAAGGTCTGGAGGGGGAGGCAGACACTTAGCAGATTCACACGGAGAGATCTCAGCCACAGAGGGGCCTGCTATAGATGGTAGTAGCCCAGGAGGCCTGGTGCAAAGAACTGCTATCTAAGTACAGACATAAAGAACACAGCAACTGATTAGCCCAGAGGGAGAAGCTCTTCAGACGTGGGGAAGATTCTAGGGAAGGGACAGGGCTAGAGAAACCCCTAGTAGCTAGAGTTCAGCAAGCTGGTGGGGAACAGCATACGACCAGGCAGCCAGAATGTCAGACCTCCTGCACCGTCCTCAACCATCTGGGCCCTCCTCAGAAGGAACTGATTGGACACTTTGACCCAGGGGAGCACTGGAATCTAGGGGAGCACTCTGGTCAGATCTGCATTTTAAACAGGACAAAGCAGCAGTCTCCTCATCATCTGGGAGCTCGGTGGTGTCACCTCCATTTTGCAAATGGAGCAGCTGTGCAGTAAGCTGAGTGAGGCTGTGGCACCCGTACGGCATTTAGTGGTAGTGCTGGCATTTGAAGCCTGGTCTATTTGACTCCTGAGTTTGGGGTGCAGTGTAGGACACCCGCGCTGTCTGTCAGCATCCTGCAGAACACAGTCTTCTGCCTCCAGGATCCAGGCAGTAGGAGATGATGAGGCTGCCTGTTTGGCTAGTGAGATAATACAGTGTCCATGTGGGGAGAGGGATCTGGAGGTACTGACAGACTTCTTCCAGCAACATAATGTATTTGGGGTAGAGACTCCTCAGAAATGTGTTCTTCCGCTGTCTCAGGCCTCGAAGGCAGCGCATCATGCTGGTAACTAGGCCAGTAACATATGTGAGCACACAGGTTTGATATTAGTGGCTGGAAACGTGGCCCAAGGGCCGACTCCGTCCTCTGGATCCTTTAGAAGCCAGGCTTCGGGTGTTTGCAGAGTGGAATGGTGGCGGTGATCCCCGTATGTGCATTGGTTGGCGGGGGAGAAGACAGGCTCAGTCAGGTTAGACGGTGTGAACAGTGTCTCCCAAGCTGTAGCGGCGGAGAAGGTCTCACGTCTGTCCTCTCACCTTGCACTTCCAAGCCAGGAAAAAATAAATAAATAAAAATGTCCATTGAAACCCCTTGTATAACCACTTAATTTTTTTTTTTAAGGAGGGAGAGGTTATAAATGACCGAGATATGGCCCTCGGAGCCTGCGGCCCCCAGCCACCACCCACCCTCCCTTCAGATCTCCCTTGGGGACCAGGGGAGGTGTCTGTGCAAAGCCAGGGAACACTTTGTCACTTCCTGTTGAAATGCCACTTTGTTGTTACTGTATTGTTGTTGTTAGACCGTGGGCTGGACTTCTACCGCTATGGCTTCTACCACTGTGGCTTCTGCCATAGCTAGAAGGACAGGCATGTGCCACTGTGCCAGGCTTGAGGTGCCCTGCTGACATGATGGAACTTTTTCCTCAAGCTGGCCTAGAACCTTGTCATCTCAGCCTCCCACAGAACTAGAACTTCAGGAGTAAGCCACTAGGCCCATCCTGATCAGGGCCCTTGGCACCAGGAGATGCAGAGTTGATCCCTCACCTGTGTGTCCACTAAGGTCACTCGGGGAAATGGTTCACCGGCAGGTTCTGGGCATTAACTCCCACACGGCAGGTGCAGTCCCTGAGGCTGGCTCTGAACCAGAGTCCGTCTGGTAACAAAGCCTCCTGAAAGCCGAGTTCCGGCTTCATTTACAAGCTGCTGGTCTAGGCACCATGCTCCTAATAGCCTCCGGAACCTGTGGGAACCCGCCTCACCTCGGCTAGAGTTTCCCACCATAACCTGGCCTGAGTCACCTCTCTTGCTCCACCAGGGAACAAAGGTACTAAGGGAGGAGAACAGGCTCTTCCTGTTGAGCGCCTCAGCCCTGGGTCTCACCTGACTTCTCCAGCCTCTGGGGAGTAAGAACAAAGAGGACATGCCTGTGTGGTACCACAGCTCATGGCCCTTTATAAATCTCTACCCCTAGGATCGTGACTCAGGACTGTGTCCTAGAATTCAAACAATCTAGATCAGACTCCCTCCTTCCTCTCTGGGGACTGAGCCAGTAGAGGAAAGGCCTGGGAGAAACCTTTGAAGTGTCCAGTCCTTAGGCCCCCACAAAGCTAGTCTGAGGGACGGCGTGGCCATCCCAGCCAAATGGGAATGTTGATTGACGTGCCTCACGTCCTATGGATGGTGGGACAAGTAGGTCATGGTGATCGGATAGAAACCAAACCTTTGGAACAGACCTTCACGAAGTGCCCATTGGGAAAAATAACTCAATTTTGCCATCTTGAGAAAAGATCTCGGGTGAGGTTTACACCCATGGTCTGGCACTGGCCCAGTCCAGTGTGACATCCACTAGCAGTGTGTCACTGCTAGGGAAATAGAGATTCCATTCTTCAGTTGCCCTTTGCGCATGTGCTAACGTTCAGGAGTCACCTGGCTACTGCAGAAAGGTAGATTGGACAGTAGCAGCCTCCGCCAAAAGAGGTACACAAAATCTGTACCATTTGTTTCAGATAAAAGTTGCTGACGTTGAAACGAAAGGGGCCCGAGGCTAGAAAAACACTCTGACAGACTCACCAGGATGATTTTTTATATAAATTTTGGAGAGAAGCAGCCTAGCACGAGGGAGGCAGGGGTCCTAGAAATCAGAGAGGTTCAGATCCCGTGTCTTGAACCCCCAGTCTACTGCCAGTGGACTAGAACCATTGCAAAATTGTTTAAATCTCACCTATTCTTTTTTCCACCCTAGATTGTCAGATTAGACCGGACAATGGAGCAGATTGTCTTCCCCGTGCCCAGCATCTGTGAATTCCTAACAAAAGAGTCAAAATTACGAATATACTACACCACCGAGAGAGATGAGCAGGGTAGCAAAATCAACGACTTCTTCCTGCGCTCCGAAGACCTCTTCAACGAAATGAACTGGCAGAAGAAACTGCGAGGTGGGTCTCGAGAGAGCCTTGACACTCCCCAGGGTGGTGCTCTTTGGGGCGGCACCAAGCCTGGCCTTGTGGTATGTTTTTTTTTTTTTTGGGTCCGGTCGTGGGGCCTGAACTCTGGGCCTGGGCGCTGTCCCTCAGCTCTTCAACTCAAGGCTAGCTCTGTACCACTTGAGCCACAGCACCACTTCCGGCTTTTTTCTTTCTGCTTATGTGGTGCTGAGGAATTGAACCCAGGGCCTCGAGCATGCAAGGCAAGCGCTCTACCACTGAGCCACCTTCCCAGCCCCCTTGTGGTATGTTTTTATCTCCAGGCAGAAGCCACATCAGTATAACTTGTGACACTTTTCCACCTCTGACCTCCAGGAAATCAGAGGAACTTGAGTAGCTGATAGATGTGCCATGGTCTAGGGAGACAACCTCTCTAAAAAAGGTTGCCTTTGGCTGGATTTGACTGTGGAGTCTCATGGGTGACTCAGGAAGCCTGTTTTGGTATCTTAACGTCGAAAGTCAAAAGGAAGAAGTCCAGGCCTTTGCACTCGGGATGGGTCACCGGGGCCAGCCATGCAGACAGCAGGATCGCTCATTTACTAGCACACCTGCTCCGGAGACGCTGGTGTTTGCCCTCTTACGGCATAGCTCGGATTCAAGACTCTAAATCATTTTACGGGCGGTGGAATCATTTGCCATATAAGATGCTTCGTTGCTCACCAGCAGGTCCTGTTGAGAAGTTCAGCCAAGTCAGGTTGAAATTACCCGACTAAGACAGGTTTATGGGGCTTTCCCAGAGGGCTTCCTTGCTCCTGGTTTTCATTGGGGTTTTAATGTGATCCTTCAGCACGAACAGTACGCTTGGCACCAGCTGTTGTGAACAACTTAAAAGAGATCGTGCTTCATTTCTGTGTGTTAGTCAGGCACCGGGTTTGTTATTTGAAACCCTAGGGTCTGGCTCGAGCGCGATCTTTCAGGTTCTTTCTGTGAGGTACAGCTGGGGCAGGGAAAGCTGGCTTGAAGTCAGTTTCCAGCAGTGCCTGTCCTCTCCCTGATCAGCGCCGATCCGGGCAGAGCTGAACCTGCCTCACTCCGCAGGGTTCCTTGATCTTTGCCTTTTTCCTCATCCTCCCGCCTTCCTAGATTCACAGTGACAGGGAGGCCTGTACAAACCAGTTGTCCGGAAGACTCTGTTCCCACCCTTCCCCACCCCCTCCCCCACTCATGATCGTCCAGGTCTAACACATATCTCTGAAGCATTTTAAAATGTTTTACCAGGACAGACTCGTCCAGCCCTGAGATCCATGTCCTGCGACTGCCCAAGGTGACAAAACAGCCTTCACCACGTCCTTCTTGATATGCAGTGTGTCCTTAAAGCCTACTGTGGATCTCTCTGAAACTCTCCCACTCATGCTTCATCCTGGGAATTTCTACCCAGCACCAGGCTCAGGCAAATAAGAGAAAAAGGATACACCCTCTCCCCTCCAAAAAAAGGGGAGGGAGGAGATAGAGACCCCACCCACTGCATACTTGCTTCCAGCTCGTAGAGTAAGGAGAGGAGAACGTCTCATCAGTTGCCTTGCCTATCCCAATATTCCATAATCGCAGCTTCGTGTGTCGTCATGAATCCATGTGCCCAAACCTTACTCATGAACTGCATCTTTCTTCCTATCCAGCGTCCTTGTCTACTGAGATGGATCAGATGTATTCTTTATCTCAAAACTGTGTTATCAAGCTGGGTGCCAGTGGCTCTCGCCTGTAATCCTAGCTACTCAGGAGGCTGAGATCTGAGAATCACGGTTCAGAGCCAGCCTCTGGGCAGGAAAGTCTGTGAGATACTTATCTCCAATAAACCACTCAGAAAACCAGAAGTGGCACTGTGGCTCAAGTGGTAAAGTACTTGCCTTGAGCTGAAAGCTGAGGGACAGCGCCCAGGCCCAGAGTTCAAGCCCCACAACTGATCAAAAAAAATCGTGTTATCAGATACATGTATATGTTTTAGGGGCTCTTTGAAAAGCTGGAGAGCCAATGCCTCTTCCTAAGATGGTATCTCTGGCCTGCCGTAGCAGGAGGCTCTCACCCCAGGAGCAGGAAGGTAAACGCATTTCTGCTTTGCCACCCACTGGCTCTGTGGCTTCACTATTCCCAGACCCTCCCCAGTAAAGTGAGGAATTAATAACACCTGATAGGTTCATTTAATCTCGAAGGACCTCTTCATTTTGTGATTTATTTTATATTATGGTTAATATCGTTCCTCATTTTGGTCTTTCTGTTTCTGGAAAACAGTTTTGTTTCCATGAAGCTTAAGTATAACTGTACTTGTCAACTGAGAATTTTTTAATTGGCTTCAAAACCAGCTACCAAGAGAAAAATAGAAAATAATAACTGAATTTGAGATGATTTGCATAGTTAAGGAAGGGCAAAATGTACTCATTGGAAGGACAGATAAAATAAAGCACATTATTCTCTCCTAAAAGCAGCTCGCTTCTCATAAATCTACAGGAAAGATTTTTCTGGCCTGTCTTTGTAGCTGCTTTGCCTATCCGGAATGTGTTGCTGAGATTAAGCCTAACTGATTACTCAACAGAAAGCCAATGTTGCTTGGTGTTTTCTTCAGCAAGAATTTAAATACCCACTTGTGTTGCTCTCCGGAAACCTTCTTCCATACAGAACACCTGAGCACAGGTTCAAAAACACAAACACACACACACCATACACACCCTTGTCAGTATTCCTGTGACCTTCTATGATCTTCTCTATGACCTTCTCCTGAAGAAAACTCGAAGACCACGTGAGAGACATGGACCTTTTCTTGCTTGGGATTTTCTCCCATGATTATCACACTTGTAGAAATGCAGCTGGAAAAGTCTACGTGCATGTATATACATATGTGTGTATATATACATATACACACAAAATATATAAACTATATGCAGAAAGAGTGTGTATATTTATACATATATATTTCAAGTCATCCAATTAAGGCTAGCTTCTTTAAATAGCAGTAGCTAGGAGCGGGCATTAGCAAGAGAAGCCCCAGGTATAGTTATGTAACCCACTCTTCCTGTCTGTGGTCATCGTACCACAGTTGTGCTGTAATATGGCAGGTGTATTGATCCAGCCAGCCTACAGCTCCCAGTAAGTAGAGAGCACAGTGCAAGATCCAGCAAAGGGATTCAATCACACACAGGCTCTGACTCTGTCCTTGGGGTGGGGTGGTTGCCATCTGAAGGGGCGTAGACAGCACAAGCATACTTGTGAGTAGCCGTAGTACCAGGCTGCTTATGATGGAAGGCTATAATCAAACAATGATGGGTTATGGGAAAGCAGGGGAAACCTGCCTTCAGAGAGAAGGTAGGAGGGGAGAGCATCTACAGGGGTGGGCAGACTTGGATAACACAGCGTGGAAGCTTGGAGGTAGGGGAGGTAGATTCAGTCAGTTTCCTCATCGCTGCCGTTAACACATTTCCAAAAACGTTGAGGCTTACAGCGGCATGAATGTATTACCTTACGTTTATGTTGTTCAGAAATCTGAAAAGGACCTCACTGGGCGAACATCAAGGTGCTGACAGGGCCCTGTTGTGCTGCTCCTGCAGCCCTTTCCAGCTTCTAGAGAGGCCTGCCTTCTTTGGCTCAGTCTCTTCCTCTCTCTCCACAGCCATGCCTGTCCAGCAGAGCCTTTCTCAGGCTGCATCCCCCTCTCATGTAAGATAACATCCCTTTCCAGAACGTTGACACACTCTGCTGATTAGGCGGGGACCTGAGAGGGACTTTATTGTGCCTGCCATCCAAGGTGCATGGATTGCTTCCTATTACTGCATCACTAATTACTCTCAGCATGTAATAGCACACACTAGAAATATTTCTTTTCTCATAGACTGTTAAGGCCAGAGATTTGGGAGTGCCTTAGCTTCATTGTTTGGGCCCCGAGTCTTGCGCTGTGTTGCTTCTGAGATGCCAGCAAGGGCACATCATACAAACACGTGTCTGGACTTGGGGGGGTCCACTCCTCAGGGCTCCCACGTGGTTGTGGGCAGCAGCCTCGGTTCCTCTCCACGCGCATCTCCCTATGGGTCTGCCTGAGAGTTCTGCTGACACCGCTGTTGTTTGTCTCGGAGCAAACGGTCTGGGAGAGCAAGGAGGAAGCCACAGGGTTCTTTGTGATCTCCTTTTGGAAGTCTGAGGCTGCCAGTTGCACTGTCTCCTGTTTATTAGCAGCTCATTGCTGGTCTGGCCCATGTTCACCAGGAAGGGAATTAAGCCGCACCCCTTGGAGAGAAGATCGAAGACTGGATATATTTTTCAGTTACCACACAGAGAGAGTGCACAAAGGCGGGTGAGGAAGGGGGCACACCAGTGTGTGTGGGGGAAGCACCCCTAGACTTCCAGCAGAGGCAGAGCATATGGTGATGGAAAGTGGGAGAAAGGTCTGGAAAGGCAAATGCAACACTGTTTAGTGCATGACAGGAAAGGAAAATATTGCACAAAGTGGGTCTCTCAATATCTTCTGAAAGGCCTGACTGTTTAGATTCAAAATGGCAGTGTGATTAAAGTAACCTGTTAGCATTGTAAAAATAAGGTTGAGCCGACCTCTACACTCCTAGTTGAAGAGCAGTTACTATATTGGTTCTGAAGTATCCTGTAGGACACATACTTGCATTTGATATCAGGCATACTGTCTTTGAGGAACTCCGGTTTGCATGGACCATTGCTGAGCTTTGCCAGCCCCTTGTATTTTCTCCTTAACTTGTTACTGTAATATCATAAGCATATAGCGTAACATATAACAGATAGCATTCGTGTGGAGAGGAGGCTGTAAGTTCCGTGTATCTGTCACGTAGCTTCAGCGGTGATCAACTCTGTGCTGTTCACCTCCCTGCTGTTCACCTCCCTCATTCTCTTCTGGAGTTTTCTTCACCAGATCAGAACTGGGCTTCAGTCCCAGAAGAAATACCAGTAGTTGTTGTAGCTAGACCAAGAGATTTCTAATCTTAACTTTGCTTCAGAAATTAACAACAACAAAAAGTCAATCATTTCCCAACAGTCAACTGGATCCTTGCACCTTCTCTTTTGAATGGCAACTATCACTCACCTTTATCTTGTCGCCGACCCCAGAGGATTACTAACCTGGGAAATAAGCTCACCCATGCTGCTACCCCCTGCAGGCCTCAGTATCCCACATTTATAACATGAAGGATTTTAAACTCAATGATTATTCCTCTGCTGTTTGGAAACACTGCCTGTTACCAAGTACAAGCATGATAGAGGTGATTTTTTTTTTAATTATCCAGGGATCTATTTAATTATTTTCGATGGAAGCTTCCAGAGACTTGGCTGCCGCTCTGGGCATCATTGAAGAAGGGCCAATGATTTGCCATTGGCTGCTGTCCTGTAGTCCAATGGTGACTTCACGGGGGGGGGGGGGGGGTGGGGGGGGGGGAGCAGTACATGAGAGAGATGACTCTCAGATTCTCACATACTCCAGACCCGTCCCTGGAGAGGCATCCTGTCCACAGAAACTGCCTTTTGTAAATTGCTTCTGGCATGGTCACTGCCTACCACTGATGTTTTGGAACAAGTGGACGGCACCGCTGTCAGAAGGGTCTCTGGCGCCCAGGCATGGACGCGAGTTTGTTGTTCTGACACAGGGAACAGCATGCGGCTGCCTGTGGCTGGCAGTGATAGCAAAGTGACCCTTACCCCTTTGGGATGGCCTCGTCCCACTTCCTCCGTGTCCCGGGGCCTTTGGAAATGTACGCTCCACGGCTGACCGTTTCCCAATCTGCCGCCTATGCCCCTGGGTTCCCCACTCTGGGGGTGACTGGCCGATGGGAAGGAAAAGGCAAGGGACAGGATGTGGGGCAAGGGCTCATTGTTAGCAGAGCACTGGAGCCAGGGATAGGAATGTGGAAATGGCACCAGGCCTGGTCACAGGCCCAGTTAAGCCAACTCTGACCCTTCCGTCTCCCTGACCTTTCTAAATAGCTCATTGAGTTCTTGGGTCTCTCTGAGTATCTCATCTGGTCCTGGAGGCCTGGGAGAACCAGAAAGTCAGGGCATGAACTCTGTCTACCCCTCAGATTCTCTAACTGATGGCATTGACTAAGGCACACAGGCCTTTTCCATGTTCCAGCTTTCCCCCTTTTCTTCTCCTCTTGTCCCCCAATACGTCTTCTGTTCCGTGAGCTCTCCCAACAGAAATGAACCAGTCCAATGTCACTGTGTGCCAACTTCAAAACAAATGATCATTTTTACCACTGGGGTGAAGACTGGGAACGGGAATGGGCTTGTGGAGGCCGCGCGGGGCCAGGCGAAGGCAGGGCCGGGCTGAATCCCACGCCTTGACACATGTTCCCCACCTCACGCGGCTTCCTCTCTGTTTCCACAGCCCAGCCCGTCCTGTACTGGTGTGCTCGCAACATGTCTTTCTGGAGCAGCATCTCATTTAACCTGGCCGTCCTGATGAATCTGCTTGTGGCGTTCTTCTACCCATTTAAAGGAGTGCGAGGAGGTATCTGCTGTCTTTAATTCTAAGGGAACAACCCATCCCAACAGAAAGTCTATGACTTGATATCCTAAATAGTGTTTCTGGAACTGTAGGTGCCATATTTAGGATCCCAGTTACACATTGGCAGACAAGATGAGATGGTAGCTTTCGCCTCAGAGTTTGAGCTCTAACTTCAGATAACGTAAATATTATACCAAACACTATATCAGGATAATTTTTTTCCACTAGCAGAGAAGGAGAAGAAACTATTAAACCCGTGGGAAGTTGCCTTCGCTCCCTTTGTTGGACATATTGGGGAAATATATGTCAGAGAGGTCGAGAGATTTAGCAAGGCTTACTCAGTGCAGAGACATTGTGATGATCATTCTGCTGCTGATTTTCCACACCATACTTCTGGAATGGATTTCAGACTAAAGACTGTAATCCTTGTAATAAATTTCTGGATTTTTTTTTTTTTACCCTGCTTTTGCTTTTGCCAGAGGTCAGAGAAGACTCGAATGGCTGAAGGCTCTTCGGTGGAGTAGTATGTTTAGTCTGCAGAGTGCTGATTGCATTATTCATGGATTTCCCCCGCCCACCACCACCCACCATCTCCTTCCGGTCACTCCCCCCCTCCCCCCCCACCCCACCCCCACACACACATGAGTGTGCTCCATGCTTTGCTAAGAAAACACAAATCATTAAGGGTGGGCATTCATGTTTGGGGAACCCCTCAATTTGCTCCTGGTACATGAGATATATTTACCCTTGTAGGGTCCTCTTTTAAGATACTCCTCAGTTAAACCTACAGCCCTCCTTCCCTCCTCTTGGTGGTACTGGAGATGGAACCCAGGGCTTCACACAAGCTAGCCAAGTGCCCTACCCCTGAGCCTTCTGGGAGGTCTAGTTCTCTAGCTAAAGTTTTCATCAGTTTTTGGCAGACCATTTCACCGTTGTAATGTAGCCATCTGCCAGGATCTACCTGTGTGAGTCCTAATGGGATAGAGAAACTCCAAAGTAAGCCATATAAACAAAACAAAACAGTGGGGGAGTAGGTTCCAGCTTGGCTCTTGCCCTTCATCATGTGGGCAAAGGTGTCTGCAGCACATGTGTATGTAATAAAAGTGTGTTTAAAGACCAATTTGAAAGTGATGACATGTTATGTAATGCTTATGTATCTAGCCCCATCTGCAGTGTTAGCTTTTCTATCTGGCCTCAGGTTGCACTGAAGATGCCGTGTAGATGATTTTTCTCCCAAAGTATGGCCTCCACACACGTCCAGGGTGAATTTTTTTTTTCCTTTTAAATGCCAGGTCAGGAAATAAGGCTACAGGGTCTTCTCTGTGGGGACACCGCCTTACCCGAGCGGGAATGTGAGCACAAAGGTCCTGACAATGGCCGTGGCCTGGACCCTAACCCCTCCTGCCTCAGAAGACCTGTGCGCATCAGAGCATGACAGTTGAGCCATTGCTTTGGATGTGTTTTTCATACCCCCCCCCCCAATTCTTAAAATAAAAACAAAGACAAAAAACCTCAAGTGCTGTTATCAGGCACCAGTGGTTCCTACCTATAATCCTAGCTACACAGGAGGCTGAGATCTGAGAATCAGAGTTTGAAGCCAGCCCAGGCAAGAAAGTCCTTGAGTCCCTTCTCTCTAACCACCAAAAAGCCAGAAATGGAGCGGGGGTTCAAGTGATAGAGTGGTAACTTTTAGTGAAAAAGCACAGGGAACAGTGCCCAGGCCCTGAGTTCAGACCTAAGACAGGCCCACTCCACTGTTCACCTTGACTTTTCTTCACTGGTCCCTAGTGGCAGCATTCAGACAAGTGTCTAGGCCACTGAGTTCAGGGCAGCCTTTAAGCCTCAAGTCCTACTTGAAAAATCCAGAGACTTAGTGTCTAGGCCTAATAGCACTGAACACTGGCCCGCTCACTCATTGGCCCTATTTTTTTTTTTTAATTACTCTTAATCTTACTAGATGCTTCCATTGAGCCCATGCTTGTGAGGCTTTGGGATGTTAGGAAAGACAGTAACAGCATCCTGACTCCCACCGAAGTTTAAGATTCAGTGGATTAAGAGTTCTCTTAACTCTAAAATGGTGCATTCTGAATATGACCTCGCCTCCCACTGAGCTGCAGGAGTCTAGGCTTCCTAACGGGGAACCACAAGGCTTTAAAACCTCAAGCTAATGACTGAAACAGAGTCCGGGCTCGTGGGAGGGAACAAGTTGCTCTAGCCTAAGGAAACCTAAAGCCATCTCAAGCCTAGTAACTCCCCTGTTTTCTTTTTGTATTACGTGCATTTGGTACAGTCCCTGCTAGCCATCTTCTGGAGACTAGGAATAAGATCTGCTTCCTTATCTTCACCCTGCCTAGAAATAGGATCTGTGTCATGGACCTGGAAGTATTTTATGAGGTCAGCGTTTGTTAGAGGCTAGAAGTATAGCTATGGTGGAGCAGTTACCTAGCATGAGCAAGATCCCAGACTTGAGCCTCAACACTGAGGAGAAAAAGAAGTATGCTGGTATATATACACGTACAACTTCTTGTATCCTAAAACCAGGATATCCAAAATGTCCCACTTAGCTGTGTGTGCTAATATGGTTTTGCAGTGCATAAGATTTGTGGGTGCCAAGAACAGCAGTGGCCTTAAAAGCTCCTGTTTGAAAGTATGACTCCTACCCCTTTATTTCAGAATGAATGAGTCACACAGCCTTTCAGAAGCATGACACGTAGGCAGGGGCAGGAGCTTACTGAATTTGTAAGCATGCCATAATGGTTCAAGCAAATGTAGAAAGACCTCTGAAACTCTTTTATTACTGATATCTTCAGGTAGACACACAAGTAGAAAGAACAATGAACTGCCACATGCCTATCAGCCTAGGTTTAATCATTAACATTCTACCTGTGTGTTTCCTCTATCTCCCCTACTGTGTTTTCTGAAACACTATAAAGATGTTTAGACAATCTTGTTGTTTAGACCGTAAATATTTCAGTGTTCTTCTCTAGCTCATTAGCATGTTTTAAAATACGTATAATTACCATACCATTATATGTAACAAAACTAACAGCAAATCTTGTATTAAGTCTGCCCAAACTCCCAATTCCTCCAGCTGTCTCTAAAACATCTTTCCAGAGTTGGTTTTTGTAATCCAGTACTATTTTTGGTTAATGCTGCTTTTGTAGTGGACTTCTGCATACATGTTATTGTACTGGCCACAGTTATTAGACTTACATACTTAGAACTCCCCAATAGAAAGACAGCCTATTGAAAAGTGGGCCACAAGACAGTTCACAGAAGAAACAGAAAGATCAGTAAGCAAAACATATGGAGAGATGTCCAGTATCACTGGTTGTCAGGAAACTGCAACATAAAACCACAGTAACATACCACTGTCAACTTCAGGGGTGACATTGTAAAGGCCAACAGACCAAGTGTCAGCAACGATGTGGAGGAAGCAGAACTCTCATGTACTACAGAGGGGAAGGCAAAATGGCAGTCATCTTGGAAAGCCATATGACAACAATTCATAGTTATGCATGTATTTAAGATCCATTGGTCTGCTAGGCACTGGTGATGGTGACTTAGGCCTGTAATCCTAGCTACTGGGGAGATGGAGATGAAGAGGATTTGAGTTTCAGGATAGCTCAGGAAAAAATAAAGCTATGTAGACCCTAGGTCAACAGGAAAAGAAACTGGCTGTGGTGGTGTGTACCTGTCACCTCAGTCATGCAGAAAGCATAAATGGGATCACAGTCTAGGCCAACCAGGCCAAAAAGCAAGACCCTGTCTTAAAAACAAATTAACCAAAGCAAAGAGGACTTGAAGTGTAGCTTCAGCAATTGTAAGCATCTGCCTAGCAAGTGTGAGACCCTGGGTGCAGACCCCAATACTGACAAAAAAAAAATCAAGCATTTGTCCAAGAGAACTGACAACATATGTTCACTCCAAGATTTGTATTTGAATGTTCCTGGTAGCTTTATTCATGCTGTCTCCAAACTAGAAGGGATTTAAATACCCACTCACTATTGGATGAATGAATAAATGGGAGTATATCCATAGTGTAGCATATTACTCAGCAACAGGACAGATCAACACCCACTAATGACCCAAATGGCTCTTAGTCACTTGGTAAGTGATAGATGTCAGGCACAAAAGGCTGCCTACTAAACTTATTTTTTTCTTTTTTTGTGTCAGTACTGGGGCTTGAACTCAGTGCCTGAGGGCTGTCCCCTATCTTTTTCACACAAGGGTGGCACTCTTACCACTTGAGCCACACCTCCACTCCCATATTTTTCTGTTTTAATGAAATCCTATAAAGGGTATATAATGACAGCACACGCATCATGATCGCTTACGGGTTGAGAGAAGGCAAAACATTGAGCCAAGAAGCACAAGGAAAGTTGTTGCCAGGGTGATAATATTCAAGAGTGTGATGGTGGTGGCAGTTTTATCTGTTGATCACATCATTAGCCAGGTACCAGTGGCTCACAGCTGTAATCTTAGCTACCTGAGAAGCTAAGAGGGAAACAGTCATTGTTCAAGGACAGCCCAGGCATACATGTAAAACCCCTTCTCAACCAAGAGTTGGGCACAGACGCTTGTGTCTTGACATCTGTGTAGGAGCCTGAGGTTGGGAGAGTTGCAGTTGCAGGTTAGCCCATACCCAAAAAAAAAAAAAATGCATAAGACTCCATCTCAGAAGAAGAAGCTGGATGTGGTGGCAGATGCCACATAGTCATCCCAGCTGTGATAGAGTAAAATAGGTGGATCATAGTTCACATGCACTCCCAGGAAAAAAGCAAGACTATCTCAAAATAACCAGTACAGAACAGGGAGGGAGGTACAGCTCAGTGGTAGAACACCTACCTAGCAAGCACGTTGTCCTGAGTTCAAATCCTAGCACTGTGTGTGCACGCACATGTGCAAACTCACCAAATTGCATACTTATATTGGGTGGATTGTGTTTTAATGGTGGCCTTAGAGGTACGTTACCTCCGTCCATTCACTGGGTCACTCTGGGCAAGATAGGTCGCCTAAGACTGGAATTTCTTGATAATAGAGATATTCTACCATCTTCATGAGATGATTGGGAAAAATGAATCAACCATAACATCAGGGGCCTAATACACTTGACAACCCAAAAATGTACACAAGAGTGATATGCATACCAGACTTGGAATTTCTGAAAGTGTTGGCCCATTTCTGACCAGGTTTAATGCATACCACAGGTGGACAGAAATCTGCGGCTGGGGCTAGAGGAGCAGTGATTACAGAGGAGGAAAGTGTCTGGGTAGGCGTGGCCTGGCGTGGAAGAGCTATGTTGCACAGGCGCCTCTTGCTGAATGGTGGTGTAGTCCCTGCAGTTCAGACGAAGTGAACTTTATATAAGCGTCCTTCATCATGTAGTGCTGCTTGTCTGCATCCGAGGGAGACTCAGAAATGTGACAGCATTTGCAATAGGGGTGTTTCTTTTTTTTTTTTTTTAATGAGTGTTTTACAGAACTATATTTTTAGCCACGTTGGCTCATGTTATATAACCAAGACATCTCGTGGGACACTCTAAATAGAACTTGGAATAGCAAGAGATGACAAAAACTGGTGGAAGCTCTTCGACTGCAGGGATAATCTTAATTGTAGATGATGCTCCTGACACGGAAGCTGCTTCCCTTGGAAGTCTGATGCAGCCAGGGGACCTAGAGTTTTCCTGTAATAGAAAGGAAGTATAGGCTTGTAGTTTGCCTCCTCCCCCAAGAGTGACTTGTGACATGTGTGTGAATTTTATTTACTGAACAAGTGTCTAGCAAGGGTTCAATGAGGTGGAGTCTAGAGAAGTCAACACCGGAAGTTAACTCCAGAAGGTAACTTCCTATGGGATGGATGTCCAGCTCAGGGACAGAATAATTGCCCAGCACAAAAAAGTCTTGGTTTTCCAGAAAGTGTAGGAATGTGCAGAGGAAGAGGGGACACCTGGCATTCTTTTTAAGGAAGAAAAAGATAGGGGAGACTTTCCGGGAGTGATCCTATCTAAGCTAAAGTGAAGATGCATAGGAAAGGGAGAAGAAATTTCTTCCAGAAGAAATTTCCCAGACAGAAAACAGGTACCATGGTTGGAAGCCCAAAGACATGGCCTGGCGGGTTATATCTGGGGCCCAGACTGTGAGGCGGGACCTGCCCTGATCCATCGCCTCTGTTTCCCTAGCCACCTGATGTGATAGGACCTTGCTCTGTCCTTCCAGGAACGCTAGAGCCGCACTGGTCCGGCCTGCTGTGGACAGCCATGCTCATCTCTCTGGCCATCGTCATTGCCCTGCCCAAACCCCATGGCATCCGGGCCCTAATTGCTTCCACAATTCTGCGGCTGATATTTTCCGTCGGGTTACAACCCACGTTATTTCTGCTGGGCGCTTTCAATGTAAGTATGGCTATCTTTGTAGCCACAGTGTGTGTTTGTGGGTAAATAGGAAGGCTTTCTATTCTGGTCCTTGGGCTTTCAGCCCAGAACAAAAAAATACTGTTTGCGTCAACTGTTCAAGTAGCACAAGCAGGAGAATGCCATGGGTGGGCATCTCCTCTTGACCTTCCCAGGCCAGCAGGAGCTTCCTGGCGGTGCCATTTTTAGGGGATTTCCTTTCAGCAGTGAAGCCAGAAGATCGAAGTCAAGATTGAAATAAGTTTGCCAATTTGGCCAAAGGTTTGTTTGCGCTATAGATTTTAGCCAGCAAGTCAAGTGATGAAATAGTAACGTGCACTCACTTCCGCAAAGGCCCTGCAGAAATAAAACTGGAGGTCAGAGGAACTGATCACACACCGATCGAGTGGAGACAGTGAGGAGGGTTGAGGACAGGCGCTTGGAAGTCACTGCCGTTGAAGGTTAACAGCCCCTGCGTCCATGGGAGGATTCTTGGACAGTGGATATGGCTGATATAAAGACTGTACAGGGGCCGGGATGGTGGCTCAGTGGTAGAGTGCTTCCCTCACATGCATGAGGCCCTGGGTTCTATTCTTCTGCACCACATAAACAGAAAAATCCGAAAGAGGTGCTATGGCTCTAGTGGTAGAGCGCCAGCCTTGAGCTGAAGAGCTGAGGGACAGCGCCCAGGCCCTGAGTTCAAGCCCCATGACTGATGAAAAAAGAAAGACTATACATTGCACAGGTTTCCCAGTGGGGGCGGGAGGAGGGGGAAGGAGAAAATTTGGATACGGCATGCCATGTACTATATTATCTGAAAGCACCTTCCAGAAATTTCTATGCCTGAGCACATGAAGAAGCTGAAATCCTGACAATACCAAAATAAAGGTGAAGCTGTCTCCCAGCTGGGTGCTGACGGTGCGGAAGGCTTCGCACAGGCCTGCGCTGGGGTCTCAGCGGCTGCCCACTCCTCACCGTCCTGGGCAGGGACGCAGGGCAGGCGTAGACGATCTCCTTCCCGAGGCAGGAGTGGTAGGACGTCCTTTCCACCTAGACTCGGGTCCTGCTTGAGGGGAAGGAGACACCGATGGGCAGAGTCCACCCACGGGTGTCACAGGCAGCCACACGTGACCGGCAGAGGACACACAGGTCTGGTGAAAATTCAAATGGGAACCGGGAAAGCCACACCGTTTGGATTGACAACATCCGTGCTGAAGGTGCAGCCTCCCAGTGAAACAAAAAATTGGTTTGCAGGCACTTCCGCGGGAGGCGGCTGTGGGGCAGCCCTATCGGCTGGGCACGCCCGGCGTGGGTCGTTAGTGTAGAAGAAGAGGGAACGTGCAGGTGTCCCCGTGCGAAGGAAGGCTTTCCATGGGGCCTCGTCAGAAGAGCAGCCTGGTCTTTTTCTTCAGGCAAAGAAGACATGGCTGTCTTCATTTGATAATGACAGAAACAAATATCAAACCAAACTTCCAGGCCTGGGCGCCTGAGAGAAGGATACGGCCACTAGCTGAAAGGCGCCGTGATCCAGGGCGCACGTATTCAAATTGTTGGTTTATTAGGGTTGAGGTGACACAGCACACTATTGTTAGCTTTGGCTTTTGGAAATGCATGACCACAATGGCTGCTAGATAAGGCTGAAGGGCGAGAGCAGCTATCACCTTCCCTGAGAGGAAGTTATTTAAGAAGGAAATACTGGATGGATGGGTGGGTGGGTAGATGAGTGGATGGACAAAAGGATGGGAGAGAGGGAGGGAAGAAGAAATGCTAACACCTTAGAGGTGGTCTTCTATGGATTCTCTAGTTCTTTTCCTTTCCTATAATCATTGCACACTGTATTAACTTCTCTACCACAAATAATTTGTGGGGAAGGTTCAAATCGGATAATTAATTACCACTTAGAGAAATATTAGCTATCAGAGAAAAGAGCAAATCAGCGATAATCATCATTCGGTCAAGTGCAAGGGAGAGAAGGAGAAATGGAGCCGGAGAGGGGGAAAGAGAAAGACCACCTGGAGCACATGGGAGGGGGAGGGGGATGGGCAGGAAGGAGGAAGAGGCCGCCACAGTGGTGGTTGAACAAAGAGTTGCGGTCAGGATGGGGCGGTGAGCTTTTTAAACCAAGGGGAATTGAAAGGGAGAAAAAAAAGCAAACATACTCAGGCAGGATCCCCAGGGAAGACTTTACAAAAGCTACTTCTGGAAGGAGCTGAAGCTGGAAGCCAGATTGGAGATAAGGAAGCAGAGTGAATTAGGATTGGGGACAGCAGGCCAGATCATGAGTTAATAGGAGATGCATGCTGGGGAAGCAATAGAAGCTGAAGAGAAAAGTGGATTCAGATGAAGCTGTTGCTCTCTCCAAGTGGAAGCGTGTCAGCCTCAGGCCTCATCGTCCCCTCCTCCACCTGGCTACCCCTGCATCAGCATGGGTCAGCTAGTCAGTGATCCCCGCCCCCATCCTGTGAAGTTTACAGCACTGGCACCTGGGCAGCTGGCACGCTCTACCTGAGAACACCAGAGGTTCTCTTAGGTGTTGGCTTCCTCACATATCTGATTGAGGAGAGGCTTGCTTACACCGACCTACAGATTAGCTGGCATAAGTGCCTGCCAGCTGCAGCCAAGAAAGCTAGGGTAGCAGAAGATGGTTTTACCAAGTACATTCGACGAGCTTCCTCTCTAGCCTTCCGATTGGAGTTTTTCTACATGTTCCTGGAGGCCGACTTGTAGGTGTGGCATGTCTATCCCAGATGGGACTGGATGGTCTAGTAGGAGCTACGACTCTTTTTACCTGTCACTCAGGAGTCACACACCCCCTCCATGCAAGCAGAAGCAGAAGAGAAAACCAAGAGGGTAACTTCGGGGGTAGCTGAATACAGGGGCCAGACGTGACATCAGGGCCCAGTTCCTCTGTCCTGTCTTCCGGCCCATCTCCTCTGGACTGAGGGTGCTCTCATACTCTGGGGGGATGGTAAGCGAATGCCAGCAGAACCAGCGCGTACACCTGTTCTAGTTCATGGTCTGTGAACAAGAACAAAGTAGTTTTTTTTTTTTTTTGCAATCCTGGGGAAGAGCACTGTGGATACCATTGGCTCTGATTGGCTTCGTGCCGCACCAGAAAATAGAATTAGCCAGCCTGCAACCTCAGCCAGACCTCAAGAACCAGTTCCTAGATATGGACCATCCCCAAAAGAAAACCAGAACTTAGTCCTAGAAGAAAGAGGGGGGTGTGGGGGGGAGATGGGAAGGGGAAACAAAGGAGGAGTCAGCAATGCTTGATAAGAAATGAACTCATTATCTTGCCCATGTAATTGTAACCCCTCTATATGGTATTTTCACAATAAAGGAAGGGAGGGAGGAAGGAAGGAAGGGGAAATCAAACGTATCAAACATTTTACTTTTGTTTCCCTAAGAAAATTCTCATTTTCCTCGTAAACAGGAGCGGGCGGGGGGGGGAGAAAAGACAAGAATTGTCTATGTCTCATCAAACTGAAACCCTGAAATGTCTAGAATGTCACAAATTCAGCAAACACTTTGAATCATGTTGAGCACAGAGTTCATGGATAGAGGTGGCTTCTGTGTTTGACTAACTCACGGAAGAATGTTTAGATGTGATTCATATCTCACTCTGGAAATTAGAATCTCAGTGTGTGTTGATTTTGTTTTGCCATAGTCAAACACTTCTTGATTATGGTTGCACATGCAATTATTTGCCTGCCAGTTTATTTGTGCTGTGCCTGAAAAGCAATGCGTGAAATGACTTGGAGTTACAGAATGGTTCTGGGCAGGTCTGAGTGAGACGCTCCCCGAGCGAGTGATCACGCACAGTTGGGTCTGATACACACCATCTAATTCCTCCCCCTGATTGTCCTCAGGTCTGCAATAAAATCATCTTTCTGATGAGCTTTGTGGGCAACTGTGGAACATTCACCAGGGGTTACCGAGCCATGGTTCTGGATGTTGAGTTCCTCTATCATTTGCTGTATCTGCTGATCTGCGCCATGGGGCTCTTTGTCCACGAGTTCTTCTACAGTTTGCTGGTGAGTACCGCGTGTCAGAATATTTCACATGCAGACAACAGCAGAGTGTGCTCTGGCCTCTCTCCTCACCAACCCTGCCTGTGAATGGCAGTTGGCATGCCAGGTCTGCTAAGGTGGAGGCCCCAGGACACCCACCGTATGGAGATCTGACACAGGAAACCAGGCAGCTCTCTTGAGCCCCGGGTTGTGCAGTCTCGGTGTGTCCCCTGCCCAGAACAGCAACAGCACTTGCCTTCCGGTAAAGAAGGGGCTCACCTGGCCCAGGAGAGGCGTCCTCTCTGGGCAGCTTTGTTTCTCAGACTCAGGCAGCACTTGCCAAAGGGAATGTTTTCCTGAAACTGTCATCGTCTTCAGTCCCGACGGGACCCATTTCTCAATGTAGACATGGAGTGACCACAGAGAGCGGGGCCATGTCCAGAGCCCCGCCCCTGTGGTCATGAGCTGGACAGGTGTGTCCACCCAGCAAGCCTTTTCAGTAGAAGTCATGTTGTTCCCCGTGAGCCAAGTGACTAACCTGTTGAGAGTCTATAGAATGAGTCGCTTCTGTCCCCTCTCTTTGGAGCACGTTTTTAAATTGCAAAGCAAGTAACTGTTTACTGTCCTGTAATTAAAGGGAATCTGGACTGACAGCACTGCAAATAAGAAACTGTTTCCACGTATCTATGCAACATGGCAGGAAATAGAAAATTTGGCCTACCGTAAGTGACTTAGAAATACAAAAATGGGAAGACCGAAAAATGACCCAAGGCTTTAGAAAAAACAGAGCAAGGAAAACTCTCGAAGGAGGTGCTAGCCATCTGTTTTCTGAGCTGGTTACTTCATTGCTCGGTGCCTTGATTTCCCCATCTACCAGTGAGGAGAATGATCTGTCTCCTTAAAGGCATCCTATGCAGCTGTTCGTGTCAAAGTCTTAGAATAGCACAGCAGCATGAAGGTTGGCTATTACGGTCTTTGTCATCTTCTGTTGCCTCTCCCATCCAAAATACCATAAAGACTTCACCAGCATGAGCTCATTCCATTAGTGGTAGGTATTGGCAGGCTACATGGGAATAGATTCTTTCTCCTCATTTTAAAATAGGTCTGGCTGAGCTCTGAGGTTTTAGGCAGAGAAGTCTCAGGAAGTGTCTGCCATTGTGTGGCCTATTTTGGTCACTCCCGTATCAAAAATCTTTAGAGCCTTGTATCTATTTCAGAACCTTTTTGGGTCACACAGTAACGGCCCTCGTTGAGGCTCTGGCTTGTGAGTCAGGGAAACCTACGTCTGCTAACCCAGCAAATTCCTTCCCTGGCTCACTCGGTGTGGTGTTGTCTGTTGTGCCCCTGCCGAGGGGTCTTTCCCAAGAGATGGACACTGTTTGGATGGTTGTATTCTTTTCCTGGTAGAAGCATTTGACTTTTTACCGTCTGCCTCCAACTAGCTCCCTTTCCTTTTCTCTCCATTTGCATCATCTCCACCTGTTTGCCTGGCCAGCCAGGGCCTTGCTAGATACAGCAGTCAGAGCGTTGAGATGGAATCCCTATCTCACAGCCTCACTGTCTTGAAAACAAGCACTTCTATCGCTTACCACATGTTCATTGTCTACTCTTCCCCTACGCGCTCACAACCCCACTGGAGGTAGATAATGTCTTCAGATTGCATCTAGAAACCTCGGTAAGGTTGCCCAAGAGCCAATCCAAAGCCATGTAGGAAGTGGCAGAGGCAGGATGGCACCCCAGCTCCCATGAGCCCCCACGTCCACATCACCTCTCATCTGAGCACGTGGAAAAGCTCCTGCCCTGTCAGACCGGTGGTCAGCACAGTCTTATGTGTGTGACGTCAGATCCCTTCCTGACCAAAAAGAATTCTAAGCTTTCCTGGTAGTGTTACCTGAGCTCAATTCCCTCTTAGAAAAATGTAGTGTAGACCATGTTGGGTGTCTCTTCTGTACTCGGGAGGGTTTTCTGAGCACTCTGGGCCTTGGCTTCCCTGTGGCCTGAAGTGATGAGCTCCTTTTTTGGTGTTAAAAGCAGTGCTGAACTACTGACCGTGTCTGGTGAGGACCACGGACACAGTACTGAAACTATTCAAATTATTCTACAAAGAAGGAAACCCGGCAACCAAAAGAAGCTGGGTTTTCTGTAGAAAGAATGAGGCCTCCATCAGAGGAAGCCATGCCACGGGGTGGGGCGCCCTGCCCTCCGTGGCCGCCAGCCAGGGGTCCAGGAAGGACACCGAGTAATCTGATGGCCTAATTAAAGTCTCCCGACCCCCCAGAGACTGGCTGGACCTGGCCTCAAACTTGCCTTTGTATACTTAGAGAAATATTAACACCGGAGATGAAAACGTACAAAGTTCATAAGCAAGCAGGTAACGAAAGGAGAAATCCAGATGGTCAGTGAACACAGAAACATTTTTGTTCATCCTCAAGGCTGAATAAAGACAGGCTAATTAAACCAGTGCATGATCCCCATTTTACTCAAGACATGAAGAAAACATTAAAAAAAAAAAAAAAAAAAAGGCAGGATCTTTCCTAGTACTGATAGCAGTGGGGGACAAAATAGGCTTTAAAAAAAAACAACTACTGGTATACAACCTGTGTGGACACAACAGGCGATATGTGTCCGTTGTAACCTAGTTTCTGTTTGCGGAAATAAACTCCAAAGAAATAACTACACACATATGTATAGAAACATACACAGAGGTATTCCTTACAGCATTATGTAAAATTATATGTAACTGAGACATCTTGACTGTTCAAAAATATTAGTTATGTTAATGGTGTTGTTTCCATCTAAGCAAATACTAGGAGATCATATTTGACATGAAAATGAATGTTCATGACTGCTGGGTGAAAGTCTGGCTATCTGCCAGTGTTGTGGCATCTTATTTTTATAAAAATGTGTATCTTGTATCTTTTCAAGGTCAGAAGGAAATAACTTGTTCATTAGATGATTATATGGATGATGGAATTACTAGAGACTTTTTTTGTATCCTATGTTTTCTTGAACATGGGTCATTTTTTTAATTAAAGCATTTTCCCTTATATAAATAATGCATGTTGTTTCAAAATGAAAATCGTTAATAACTATGAAGAAGAATAGTCACCTGCCATTTCTGTGGTGTGGGGCTCTGTGACTGTTACTCATAGCAAGCAAGTAGCTTCTGTGTATTGTGTGGCGTGTGCAACCGCTTCCACTGGGGTTGCTGGGAAATGTTTAACCAACATTAACAGCAACCTTAGCCTTTTGTCCTCTCACACGGATTCCTCCTGACTTCCTCCGGAGGACCCTTCCTTACCCGTTCTCTTAAGACACAGATCGAGCTTGGCCAAAAAACAAAGCTTCTTGGGCAGGAAATGGAGCTCGGGTGTAAAATTCAAAACTAGAAGGGATTCAGAGGTCAGCTAGTTGAGTCCACTTATTCCACAGATGAGGAAATCGAGGCCCGGAAGGGTGAGATGATGTGACTAGCGTCTTGTCATAAATTAAAAGTAGATCCGGGAACAAGGCCCTTTCCCTCTGGCTGACTTCACTTTGCCCAGTCATACCCTAAAGCCACAGTGGAGGCCACTGTAGAGAGGAGAAGACTAGGTTAGCACAGAGCCCGTATTAAAAGTCCAGATTTCACCGGGGCCTGGTGGCCCACATCTGAAATCTCAGCTGCTTAGGAAGCGGAGGCAGGAAGATCACGACCTTCCTTACAGCCAGTCCAGCGACAGAGCAAAGCAGTTTTCTTTACATGTTATTTTTAATTTCAGAAACGTGTCTAAGTTTCTGCCATGTAAGAGTGGCTGTAGAGAACACTGCCCATTGCCACAGCATTCCCTCGGCCAACTAGCCGTGATGGCAGTCCTTGGGGAGTTTCTCCTGGGTATGGCTCTATGGATCCAGCTTCTTGCAGAGCAGGTCCCCTGGCATGGGGTTCCCCCAGCCCCCCCACTGGGGAAGGAGCATAAGGGACGAGGCTTCCTGGTGTATCCCCGTCACCAGTGTCCCTGCCACGTCATAAGTAACCTTGCCCCAGTCTCTTTGTTCATCAGGAAATGGATGATTGCATTTATGGTACTTACTCATCATGGGAGTGTGCTTGTGTGCTGTGTTCCCCCTTCAATCTTCATGACAGTTACATCGTCCAGTCTGCACATAAGGACACTGAGGCCCCAGAGGGACAAGGACAGTACCAGGCCCATGATCACAGTGAAACACATTTAGCCGAGCTGAGATTGGAGCTTTTCCTGAAGCCCAGCAGCTTTGCTGCTGACTCTGGCTTGCAGCATGCCTGCCTTCCCCGCCACACACTCACCCCAGAACAGCGAGGACCAGGATGGCTGGCCCTTAGGAGAAACTCAAGACTTAGGTCCTAACTGATGTATGCCACGTCTAGTCACGCTCGCTCTCTTGTCCTTTGCTCTTTGAAATTCGTGTGTTCTGTGTCTAGGACATTTGACCTGCTTCGTGTACTACTTGGAGTGGTTGCTCTTTCTTGACCCCTCTTCTGTATTTACTTTTCTCATTTTTTTTCCATCTTGGTTCTCACTTGAAGGCAGGTAAGACATTCAGTGTTCAGATCCTAGTATAACGCTGCTATTGCAGTTCCAAGAGGGTGAATGGGCTGTGGGCTGTGCTTTCATTATGCAGTAATGATACACTTCTGATAGAGAGGCTTCTTTAAAAATCTTCCCGTTCTTTTCTTGTTTTTGAAGCTTTTTGATTTAGTGTACCGAGAAGAGACATTGCTTAATGTCATCAAAAGCGTCACCCGCAACGGACGGTCTATCATCTTGACAGCAGTGCTGGCTCTGATCCTGGTCTACCTGTTTTCCATAGTGGGATATCTTTTCTTCAAGGATGATTTTATCTTGGAAGTAGATAAATTGCCCAATGAAACAGCTGTTCCAGGTGAGTTTGTGGTCTTCTGATCTTTTTTAATGTCAACGCTGTTTCCTAGAGGAAGAAGGGTGGACGGGGTGGCATTGATCGAGATGTTTGGTACTTACAGAGTGACATGTTGAATTGAAACTCTTTTGTACAACTAAGGATAATTTAAAAAAAAAATTCCTAATCATAACTGATCTAGAGAAAATGATGATTTTAGAAATATAGTTCTCTTCCTAATACCAGATTATGAATTGTGAACTCAGGGCTTACTTCTCACTTTGCTTAAAGGGTTATGCTGTACATCACATGCTAAGAGTAAGCGGCCGGATCTTTCGTTAATTTATTTACCATTGTTTTAAACCAGTACACCTTTTTGAAAGCATAAGAGTATGCATTCCCTAGGCTTAGTAAATCAACTTCTAGCAATGTATACTTAAGGGGGGGGGGCGGGGCATATTTTTTTCATTAAAAAGTTCATATGTGGTTTAAAATGTGGACAGATGGAACCCGGAGTGGCTAGCAGTGGCTTTCTCCAGGGCCTTTTCCATAGTCAGGTTTTATGGTGAGCTCCTGTGATGTTTATACACGGCAAAAACAGACTTCCAATTTTAAGAATGGAAAACAGCAACCACATACTTGAGTCCTACCCAAGAGCTCTTGTCTCTCGATTACAGCAACTGCCCCTACTTAATGAAAGACATCTGATTTGGGAGCAGGTAGCCAGGCTCCCCGAGTCCCAGGAAGAAACTGAGCGAATGTTGACCACTGAGGCAGGTGGCCCAGTTCTGTCTCTTGGCATGAAACCCGGGGCCAAGCTGACAATGGGCAGCACCGGCCGTCACCCATCTTCAGGCTCTGGACCCTGGCTTTCCTCCTCGTGCCTGGTGATGCTTCTCTCGCAGACCTTTCCTCTCATCTTACTGGAGTCTGTACATTCAGTAGTTTCTGCCTTAAGAGACGCCACAGTTTGTCCTTAAAGTTAGAGAGGTGCTATTTAAGTGCGATGTTTCTAGTAAGCCTACAAGAGTTGACGTTCTTTGGCGGTTTTCCCGTCCAGATCACCAAAGGAAAGTGTAAATCACATCTCTGCTTTGAATTTATATGCAAGATCGGAGGGTGTTATTTATGTAAAGGATTGTTTAATCAGCCGTGAATTGGGGACGTCAAACATTTTAACCATATGCTGTTTGTTACAAAATTCCCTTCTCTCTCAGAAACCAGCGAGAGTTTGGCAAGAGAGTTCCTGTACTCTGATGTGTGCAGGGTGGAGACAGGGGAGAACTGCTCCTCCCCCGCCCCTAAGGAAGGTAGGACACACGGCCGCCTGCCCCACACCAACCCTGACACCCCCCGCAGAGCAGGAGGTGGAAGCAGTTAGAACAGATGCACTGCTCAGACGTGCAGCCGAGTGTCGAAGAGAGATGAGGGGCATTGGGGGCAGAAGGAGGCCACATGGGAAGGAGCATCTGTCTATATCAGGGACCATCTTGTCCTGTGGGGTGTGGGAGGCAGGCAGGTAAATAGCTGATCACCGGAGAGTGTCTCAGAGGCTAGGAATCCAGATGCAGAACAGAGGGACGAGGGTATCATCAGACAGGCCAGGTCTAAACTGAAACACAGGAGTTGTGGGCAAAGGCAGGTGGGTAGATCTTGGAGATAGTGAAAGTAATGTATGTTAAGGCTTCACGGTCAACACAGCAGCTATAGGGAGATGCTAACCATGTGGAAGCTGAGTAGCCGGGCATGATTCAACCAGAGGGTCACATCTTAGGTAAGGAGCAAAGGTCCATCCCGAAGCTGCCTGCAGTTGTTGCCAGGGATGTGATATGATGAGATCTTTGCTTTAGCCAGACTATCCTCACCGTCCCAGAGGAGGGGGCGGGGCGGGGACACAAGGTTCTTCACCCATAAACCAGTGAGATAAACAGCAAAGCCATGCATCCAGCGGAACCGCTGGAAATCCAGCCATGTCTCAGCCCTTACAACCCCACTGTGAAACGCCTTACCCAAGAAGCAAGACGCCTCTAACTCTGAGTACCTAGTAAAACGTATCTGAAGCCTCAGTACTACTGTGTTCACGGGTGTGGTTAGAGCTGGCCATCTGCAAAGACAGGGAACATTTTAGTCTTCATGGAGGGAGGTCAGTACTGAGAGTTTAGTCTTCATAAAAGGAGCTCAGTACTGAGGGCTAAGATGGCCTTAGCTGTGCTAAGACAACTCTAGCGTTCCAAACCAATTTAACTCGTGACTTGCCCTGCCCACAGCGCTGGTGGTCCCCGTGGAGCACACGGAGCAGGACAAGGAGCACACGTGCGAGACCCTGCTGATGTGCATCGTCACCGTGCTGAGTCACGGGCTGCGGAGTGGGGGCGGAGTGGGAGACGTGCTCCGGAAGCCATCAAAGGAGGTGAGTGCATCTGGAAGGAAGGGCGCGGGTGCGGGGGAGGGGCCGGGGGGGGGGGGCTGGGAGCGCAGCGCAGTGGCGCTGCTGGGAACCACTCGCTCCCTTGGTGCCCAGCCCTGTGGGGTGGCCAGCTGCGTGGGCAGGGCGCTGTGCTTCTCCGGTCCCTAGACATAGGTTGTCCCCTTCAGGGTTGGGTCTGCTCTCCCCCCACACGTTTCCAGACATGACCAGAACCTTTGGATTGTATTCCACACTTGGAAAATGCACAGTGTGGACTCTGGGGGGTGAATAGAAGAAGCCATTGTACCCAGTTTAACAAAGGGACATGCACGGGCTCTGCGCGGCAGGAGGCTGCAAGGGGGTCCCCTGACTTGTGCTCCCCCCGCCCCCCCCCCCCCCGTTCCCTAGGAGCCCCTCTTTGCCGCGAGAGTGATCTACGACCTCTTGTTCTTCTTCATGGTCATCATCATTGTCCTCAACCTGATTTTTGGGGTCATCATTGACACCTTCGCCGACCTGAGGAGTGAGAAGCAGAAGAAAGAGGAGATCTTGAAGACCACATGCTTCATCTGTGGTGAGTTCCCTGCCCCGCTTCCTGCCGGTGGTGGGCGTGGCCGGCTGGGTGTGGCTTTGGCAGGGAGCAGTGCTCTACTCTGGCTCTGATTTTTCCAGAAAATACTGGGAGTGTGGATGAATTCTGTACAGCAGACACCCATCTGTCTTAGGAACTAAGTACTAAGAGCAGACATGTCACCACACATCATTTAGGACAAATGCAGAGTGTCTTTGTTCCTGGGCTGCCTCAGTTTCCCTTGGACCCATTCTAAGGGAATTACACAGGCGTATTTCCTCCAGCCTCAGATAGGACCAAACTTTATGTGAAAAAACTTTTTAAAATGTTCCTCTTAGAATATTTATGACGGTGTAGGGCTCGGGCCTTGTGTGACAGACTTGGGTTCTGATCTAGCTCCTGCCACCTACTAGCCACGTGCCCACAGTCTAGTCCCTTACCTTCTTGAGCCTTCCATGTAATTGGTACTGCAATGAGGACTTCTTTGCATTAATGGGCAAAATATAGGAACAGAACACTGTGGACCCCTGGGACTGAGGAGTGATCTGCTCAATAAAGGTGCTACAGTACCCAGGCAGGTCATTTTCAGCCTATCTGCAGGAAATGCATATGGAAATGCCAAGTGGGAGCCGAGTAATCATCTTGTAATTATGCATAATTTAGTTACTAAATATAAATCTCTTCCATATATATTTAAAATGAGTGTTTTCATTTTAAACATTTCAATTCTTCCAACTTTTTTTATTCCCAATCCTGGGGCTTGAACTCTGGGCCTGGGCGCTGTCCTTAAGCTTTTTTTGCTCAAAGCTAGCACTGTATCACTTGAGCACAGCGCTGCTTCCAGCTTTTTGTAGTTAATTGGAGATAAGACTTTCTGCCCTGGCTGGCTTTGAACTGTGATCCTCAGACCTCAGCCTCCTGAGTAGCTAGGATTACAGGTGTGAGCCACTGGCTCACGGCTATCAAACATATTTTTTACACTTTTTTTTTTCCTTCACTTAATTTTAGAGTCACAGAAAAATCATATGGTTAGCACAAAGAATTTCTCCATATTCTTCACACTCCTCACACCAAATTCTCCAGATATGAATACTGTTTCTCTGTTGCTCCATTCACACACACACATTTGAACTATATGGGTGTGAATGACAGAACTCTTACTCCTAAATATCTCAGTGCACATTTCCTAAAGACAAGACTGTTTTCTTACATGTCTATAATATGGTTACCAAATTGAGAAATCAAAACATACTTAGAACTATCATTCCTTCTGGTAATGTCCTTTGCAAGCCGTAGGTTTGGGGTGATACCCAGTCATTGTGTTTGTTTTGGACATTTATAGATTGTCTCCTGATTTGGGCTTTTCTGCCATTTTCTCATGTAGAATTGAAGCTGTGCGTTTTTTTTACAGGAACATCAAGCATGTATCCTCATTCTCTTCTCAATATACCATATCACAAGGCATACAAGTCATCATAACTTGTGATACTGACTTTAAGTTGGTAGTTGCCAAGTTTTAGCCTTCATAGAGTCGTTCTACATGGGGAGATACTTCGATACCTTCTAAATACTCTATGATTTCTCACATTAGACTTTCCAGCTCTAGTTCTTATAACCAGTGATGCTTCTTACCAGAATCCATTATTATATGGTGGCCAAACTACCATATAATGACTTCTTTTATTCTTCTTCTTGCATTTTTAATTTTTTTTCTTTTTTGTGTCAGTCCTGGGGCTTGAAATCAGGGTTTGGGTGTTGTCTCTCAGCTGCTTTTTTTTTTTTTTTGGCCTAACACTAGTGCTCTACCACTTGAGCTCCACTTCCAGCTTTTGAGTGGTTAATTAGAGATAAGAGTTTGCCCAAACTGGCTTTGAACTGCAAGTCTTGGATCTCAGCCTCCTGAGTAGCTAGGATTACAGGCACGAGCCACTGGTGCCTGGTCTTGTCAACTTTTTTAACTGGACATCAGTGGTGTTCACACTTGTAATCCTAACTACTCAGGAGGCTGAAATCAAAAGGATCATAGTTGGAGGCTAACATGGGCAGAAAACTCCCAAGAGATTCCATCTCCAAAATAGCTAGCAAAAAGCAGGACTTAGAGGCATGTCTCAAATAGTAGAACACCAGCCTAACAAGTTTGACGCCCTGAATTCAAATCTAAAACTTTCATCAAAAGAGAGGGACTCCCCCCACCACCCACTTACAGATGTACATGTTTTTGTTTTACTGTATTTTTGCGTTTTTGACTGAGTTGGGCTGGGGCTTCTGTCTCCTTTCTAGGCTTAGAAAGAGACAAGTTTGACAACAAGACGGTCACCTTTGAGGAGCACATCAAGGAAGAGCACAACATGTGGCACTACCTGTGCTTCATCGTCCTGGTGAAGGTGAAGGACTCCACCGAGTACACGGGGCCCGAGAGCTACGTGGCGGAGATGATCAAGGTGAGCGGCACGTGCACAGGGTGGGGGCTGTGGCCCTGGGGACCCCCGGCCTGGCTTCTCAGCTCAGTCCTGCCAGCCCTGGAGAAATGTACACCAGGAAACGGTCATTGCGTGAGGCCTCCCCGTGGGTGAGGGGCCGTGCCCTGTGAGCGCCGTGCTCTCTCGGGGTCCTCAGGACCCCTGCACAGCTGCTGCCGGCCTGTTTCAAAGGAGCAAGTAACAAGGCTCAGAGATTGATTAGCCCAGGACCGGAACTGGTGTCTCAAAACATCAAACTCTACTGCCTCGCTTCCTGTCTGTGTTCATCTTCCTTTCCTCCTGATATCATATATTTTTAAAACACTTTGCTTGAATGAGGCCTGGTCTCTAAGATGGGGGGGCAGGGGGCGGTCGGCGTCTCACAAGCAGCATAATAACGAGGCAGAGTTCCGCATGATTTGTTTGTTTGGGCTCAGCCTGGCCTTCTGGGAACTGCCTTGCTAAGCCTCAGGAAGGATCATTGATGGGAGGAACTGGGGTCAGATTCAGCTTGCTACATGGGAAATGTGGACTGCCGTATCCCAGCCAGAGGGGGCGGGGCAGCGTCTGTCCAGATGTACTGTTCCTCCAGACCTGCGCTCTCCAGGTTCATTAGCATGTTCAGAACCGCGTGACCAAGTGAAGCCTCACAAACAGTAAAAGCAAAGAAGGTTTGGGGAGGTACCTTGGCTCCCGCCCACTGCAGAGAGGGGCTCCACAATTCACTGCCTTCCTCCCAGTGGCCCAGGACCTGAGCGTCCTGCCCGCCCAGCCCTGCTGTGTCTTATGCAGATGTGACTTTAGAGCTTTTCGTGGTAAACTTCCCAACGGTTGCACACCACCCAGGAAGGCCTTGGGCCCTGTTGCACAGCACAGCGGTCAGCCCTGTGGTCAGGCAGGCTTGGGCCTCGTCCAGGCTCAGGAGGGGATACTGTGCGATCTGTACCTTGACGTCCTTTGAGCCTAATTCTGGGGCTTTCAACATTTGAATGCACGTCGAAATCTTCTGGAGATCTCAGTTAAAGCTCAAATTCTGACTCAGCCGGCAGGACTTCACCGTTTCCATGTCTCCTAGGGAGTGCCGTGGCTGCTGGTGCGTGAGTCACCCGCAGAGTAGTAGGAATCCCACAGAGGAGACAGGACACGGTGATTTAGGAGATTACCGTCCAGACGGGCTGTGTGGCTGCTGAGGAGAGAACTCCTGATCCCCGCCGTGCGTGTCCTCTTGCGTACATGCTGTTCTTCCAGGTCCATTGTTGTGTCTGCTCGTTACCATTACCTGACGTGGGGGGTCGGGGGCAGGCCTCACAGCAGAGATGACTTCCCCAAAGCATGTGGAAAGTGAGAAGGTAACACAGGGGCCAGAGACAAGCCGAAGGGAAGGAGGAAAAATGATCACAGAAGGAGGATGGAGAGAAACACACATTCCAAAAGGAAGATGAGGGTTTGTCTGTCCCATTTGGCCGACAAAAGCCAAGCTGAAGGGAAGTGTGTTGCCCATGAATGGCCCAGAAGGGGCTGAGCAGGTGTGTGGAAATCGCATCCACAGTCACGTTGTTCAGAGGGACGGGGAAGGCTCTGGTGGGTGCAGACTCCTGTGGGTAAGGAGACACAACAGGGCAGAGATCAGGACCAGCTTCCACCGGCAAGCAAGATCAAGGCACACTGCCTTCCCTTGAGTGTTTGGCATTGACAAAGAAACCCATTTTGACAGTGCAGATGACACAAACCTGCCACGTCCCGGGCAGCAACCCACACTTTCCTCTGAAGTGTCTGTTGGTTCCCAGTCTTCAGATCTTTCTGGGGCCAGTTCTGAAATTTTCAGATAATCACCTAACACTGCAGTCACTCTGGGGCCTCTGTCTCAATCACAGAGACTTACAGGAGTCTTGTGAGCAGTCACTTGACAGGGATTAAGACAGAGTGACCCCTTGCCTGCCACCCAGCCTGGCCAGAGAACCTCCGCATGCCATTCCAGCATGTTTTCCTGTGCACGCTTGGCTTTGACTGCATGAGATGTCTTGTCAAAACGCCTGACATGAGCTGGCCGCTGGTGCCTCACACCTGTAATCCTAGCTACTCAGGAGGCTGAGATCTAAGGATCGTGGTTTGAAGCCAGCCCAGGCAGGAAAGTCCATGAGATTCTTATTTCCAATTAACTAGCAGAAGTGGCACTGTGGCTCAAAGTGGTAGATCCCTCGCCTTGATCAAAAGAGCTCAGGGACAGCACCTAGGCCCTGAGTTCAAGCTCCACAACTGACAAAAAAAAAAAAAAAAAAAACACCCGACACCAGAGAGTTTTTTAAGTCTGAAGTAGATCAGAGTCGCTGGTGGGCTAGATGTTTTGTGCAGGCCGCCGGGATGCAGAAGAACGTTAGAGCCCTCCCTGCCTCCCCCTCCCCCCAAACAGAGCCATCCTGTCAGCACTGGTGGTGGAGGCTCCACCAGGAGAATAAGCCATAGCAGCCCAGGAATGGGGGTGTTGAGCTGCATTTCCCAGGGAGACTCAAGCCCCTTGGAACCTCAGAACAATGACAGAACAGACTCCATATCAACATTATGTGCTGCGTTAGTCACTCCGTGTCGGCCACCCAACATGGATGTGTGAGGTGCTGTTAAATCCAGACTTGCAAACCAGAAACTCAGGTCAGGAAGGCCTCGGGAGCTGCAAAGCTGTGAGGAGCAGAGCAGAGACTCACAGCTTTGTCGTGGGCTTCCAGATGCTGTCCCTGGGAAGGGAGGGGGGCCTGGGGGCCATCGGCCTGGCCTTCATTTGATCAAGCGGGAACTGCTTCATGGGCCTCAAAACTCACTGCTTCTGGAAGGGGAAATCAGGCAGTCTGGGTGACAAGCCAACCCTGAGAGGACAGAGAAGACACAGCCGGTGAGTGGCAGGAGGGAGGGAAGCAGGGCTTCCCCAGAGCTGTCTTAAAGACAGGCCATTTCCAGGAAAGCCCCAGGTAGCTGATGGCGGAAAGCGGAGGGTGTTTAGTGCTGTCACACATCCTCTTTAGTCCACAGGTTCAGATCCTAAAGCTTCCAAAAGGACTAGAAAGTGAAAGTTGCCAAAAGGCCACCGGGCAGGACCAAGTGGAAAGGCCTTGTGGTCTCAGGGGGAACTTCGTGCAGCTCAGAAGAGCTTCCTGCAGACAGCTGCTTCGCAGATGGCAGCTAGGTTCCACCTCTCCCAAGCCAGCATGGGGCTGCTTAGTGGAGTCTGCCTGGACACCATGTTGAAAAGAATTGTGGGACAGCCAGGCTGACTGAGAGGAAATTGCCTACATTGAGGTGACAGGACCTCTCCCCTCTATAAAGAAAAACAGTGCATCCCTTGCCATCCCTGGAGGGCGAGAAACCCACAGCTGAGAAGTGTTTGCCAGCCATTCATGCACAGATCAATATTTAGTTGTGCATTATAAAAGGGCATATATTTTCTTCCTTCTCCTTTGCTCATCCCCTCTTTCACTGGGTCAAATGAAGGCCAGGCCAATGCCCCCCCAGGCTCCCCTCCCTTCCCAGGGACGGTATCTGGAAGCTCACGATAAAGCTGTGAGTTTCTGCTCTGCTCCCATAGCCTTGCAGCTCCCAAGGCCTTGCTGACCTGAGTTTCCGGTTTGTAAATATGGATTTAACAACACCTCACACATCCATTTCCGGTGGCCATGAAGTAAAATGGAGACCTGGCAGGTGGCAGATGCTCCAGGAAAGAGGTCCTGACCAGTGGTCAGGCTCAAATCACAGGGCCACAAGGTGACCCAAGAGCTGCCAGAAGCTTCCTTTCCTGTAGTTCCAGGACAAGGTGAGGTACTTTGCCAGCGAGAGGAATTAGAAGGAAGATCTTGATTGTTAGAAACTCCTTCCTGTGGGGGGTGGGGGGGAGTCTCCGTGTCTTCCTCTTTTTCGAGTGCTGGAATGTTCTTGACTTTGGAGGCTGGAATGGCTGGTGTTGTCACTCCCTCTCCCCTGCATCTGTCTGAGAGCTGTCCCAGCGTTTCGCGGTGACCTTGTGTATGCCTTTGCTGCCCGAATGTAAGGCTTCCGTTGGTCTGGGAACTGGCGCCTGAGTTCCCCGGCCCCATCCTGAGATGACACTTGACTCCTGGTGGACCTGACGTGGACCCCAGATGGTCAGTACTGAGTGGAGGGCGAGGACCACCGCCCTGGTCCCCTCAGCTCCCAGCGGGCTGCGCATTCCAGGCTGTGGCTGCAGCCGGACCTCACTGAGCCCCGCCTTGTCCTTCCCCGTGGGAACTTGAGTCCTGGTGTGATCCTAAAGAGTTTCAGTTGCCAGCCATTTAAATAAGCACACTTGATTAGCTTTGATCTACATGTAAATTTCCACAATAACTTGTGTGCTGTGTACCTTTTTTTTAGGCATAATTTTAGCACCATTCAACTTTGTTCTCATGCTGTTGAACTGAGAATGTGTGTTGGTCCGTAGATGGTAGTGAGAAAGGCCGTGCTGTTAGACAGAAATGTCATCATGCTACTTTTCCCAAGAGAATTTAAGGCTGCTCAAAGGGCCCATTACTGGTGAGAGATCAGCTCAATGATTTCCAGTGAAGACATACAGCCCCCCCACACACACCTTTTTTAAACTACAGTGAGGAACAGGAGAGTAGATGTTGAATGCTAGAAACTCGGGCAACATTTAAAGGGAGGCTAGTTTTAAAAATAATCATGAAAGTGGCTCATGTAGTAGAGTGCTAGCTAGCCTTGAGCAAAAGAAGCTCAGGGACCGTGCCCAGGCCCTGAGTTCAAGCCCCAAGACTGGCAAAATAAAAAAATAAATAATAAAAAAGATCAAACAGCTTGCCTTGCATGCATGAGGCCCTGGGTTTAATTCCTCAGTACCACATAAGCAGAAAAAGCCAGAAGTGGAGCTGTGGCTCAAGTGGTAGAGCACTAGCCTTGAGCTGAAGAGCTGAGGGACAGCGCCCAGACCCACACACACACACACACAGTAACTGAACCAGAGGCATCTCTTTTGTTCATGAGTAAGGATTTCATCTCTGCACCAGGGATTCTGCCTCTTGGGTGCTGGGAGGTGTGTTTCTGAGTGCACTGAGTATGCAGCCAGGGTGTTCATCTGAGTATTATTTGTCTGTTGATACCTTGGGCTACTGTGGCTTTTTCTGTCCTCCAAGATGTGTCCATTGGTGTGTGCTGAGGATAGGGAAATGCCTAGGGAGGCCCTGCCTCCCCATGGAGCGGCAAGTGGCTCAGAAGTGCCCAGGGCTGCGCTGGAAACGGGCTGCCCTCAGCCGCCAGAGCCAGGGCTGACCGGCTAATAAAGAACAGGTTGTCTTTAATCGGCAGACACGACCACATGCTTTCTGTGCACAACCTCATTACGTCCTCCGTCCTCCACGCAGCCTGGCGGATGGCGTGGTTACTGCCTCTCCTGACACTCAGGAAGGCCAAGCTGCGTCTTCAGGGTCACACGGGAGCTGCTGAGTCAGAACTCAGCCTCACCTGGACTCGCCGGGATAAGATTACCTGTGCGCTCCACCCAGCCCTCGCTCAGGAGCCTGTCCACCCCCTCCCCTTCCCCTTCCTGCCTACCCCAGGACTGGCTCATGTCCCTTGCTCTGGAATTAGCCACATTTAAAACAGGCAGATAAGGAAGGCCCAGTGTGGGTAGGGGAGAAGAATGTGAAAGAGGATCTCCTGAGTACTGCTGACTGGCTGATGCATAAATCAGCAGGACTGGAGCCTTGGGGTTGGATGGGGCCTGGTCCTCCCAGCTGCTGCCTGACCCCCCCCCCCAGGGGACCACCTCACGTGCCCCAGGGAGTGTCAGACAGGAGAGGCTGGAGGGCCCATCCCATTCTAGCTGAGCGTTGATCTGGGATAGGTGTTCATTCTCACTTGCTCCCATATTACAAAGCACTGTTGCCCTTACTTACACTTGTGACAAGGAATAGATGTCCCTTGGTGGCCAGATCTGTGGGGTGTGGGGCTGTCTGAACTTCCAGGGCTGGGGCTGGGCAAGGAGCAGGGAGCAGACATAGCCCAGCGGAGCTAACACGCCCGGTGACTCACCCCACTGAGCGTAACTCCTGAACAATTACACACAAGAATGTCTAATCCGTTGCTCTGTAAGCCCGATACTGGCTGAGGCAGCCACTTCTCAGGTCAGGGGGTGCTGCCACACAGGAAGGCAGGCCCCATCACCATTCCTGCAAAATAAAAGGTCTTCCTAAACAAATGCCTTATGTGTCAGGAAAGCAATGTAAGAGAGACTTTTTTCCTTAAAAAAAAAAAAAAAAAGCACATTTACCAGGTAAATTATCCAAGCACGTAAGTTTTATGTGTCTTTGATAAGGAGACGTGGAAGCAAAAGAATCAGCAAGCAACGCATGCTAACAAGGGCAAAAGATGGAAACGGGAAGTGAACACCTCTGTCCCTCCCTTCTGTCTGAAAGCGGAACTGGCCAGCGTCTTGCACTTTTAGTAACCCCAGCCAGAGGAGGTGCTATAAAATGTGCAGACAGGCAGGGAGGGCGGCTTCCTGCTGGCCAGGGCAGTAAGTTGAGGGACTGGAGGAAGTAACTCAGGATGGACATGGTGCGGAGGGATTGTAATTAGACAGGACAAGGCCCTGGTTGTGGGAAGAACCCATGGCCGTGGAGAGCCATCCTGAGAGAGCTCAGGACACCAGGACAGAGGAAGGAGAGTGCCGCAGAGCGGGCACCCACCCCCACCCACCTGCTCCTCCTTGCCTTAGATAGCCCTGCTCCGAGCTTCTTACGCAGCGGGCAGCAGGTGTGGGTGGTTGGCATCCGACACTTGACAGCCTGTGCTTCAGTGCAGCCCTGACAGGTTTGGACTTTGGTTTGGGAATGCCAAAGGGGATCCTGGGAAGTCAAGAGTACCCTGATGAAACTCCTGGGGCCACAGGTGTGGATGCTTCGGTGTAGACAGCACCCAAGAGACAGCGTGTGTCTAACCCACCGGTGTGGATGCTTCGGTGTAGACAGCACCCAAGAGACAGCTGTGTGTCTAACCCAGGAGGCCGCAAGCATCGGGTGAATGTCACCCCGGCTCTTGACAGCGTAGCCCTGGGTGAGGACACAGCCTGTGATTCCCAGAACACCTCCTGAAGTTAGCTGACACCACGGCCGCAGGGTTCCAGAATATCAGAGGGAGAGAGGAGTGGAGAGGGATTTGGCCCTGGCTTCACGGTGGCTGGAAACTGTGTGTCAGCGTCCCGAGGCACCGCAGCCAGCCAGCCACCCGGCCCGCCGGCGCTGACCCTCCGCACTTGAGCTTGCGTCCCTCTCAGTGGCAGCTGCACAAAGCAGTCGCTGAGCCCAGGTCTCCCCGCCCAGGCTCCTGACAACGTTCTGTCCGCTAGTCTGGAGGAGTGAAGTCACCCCTGGTCCTTCTCCTGCCACCTCCCCTTCTGTCAGGAAGCCCTGCTCCTGCCCTGAGCTGGCCACTCTGGGTTCTCCCCATTCGTCGGCTAGGAACAGAACTCTCATCCGCCCTAAAGGCATTGAGGTGCAAAACCAGGGCTCAGGGAATCTGGTTTACTGAAGGTTCCGGTGTGTGAGAATTCAGAATATGAGGACCATGGCTAGAGAAGGTTAGGTTGACCAGCAGGAAGCCGGTTTGTTCATACTCTAGGCATTGGCATAGACACACATTCCCCTAACGCTCCGCCTCCTTGCCTTGAACCTCCCCTGCCTGTGTCTCCCTCCCCTGGGGTACCCCACTTGACCCTTCCAATCTAGACCTCCTATCCATGCCTTAACTTCTGCATTTTCTGTTCAATCAGAGTAATACCTTTGCTAGAGCTAGACTATAGTGTCCACTGGAGTTGTGCAGCCATTTAAAAACTGTCCTGTGTACTTAAAACCTGTGGCTCACACCTGTACTCCCAAGTGGGAGGCTGTCGCCAGAGGATCTTGAGTTCAAAGCTAAGACAGAAAGCCCTGCTGCACTCGTGGAAATCATTGGCCACGGGTGAGCTGTTCCCCAGACACCACGAGGCCTGAGAGGAAGTCAGATCCTAGCAAGAACGAGAACTTCAACCTGGGAAATGTTCCGAATCAGAGAACTGTTTTCATTCAGTTCATCTCTCCAGAATTCTCCCCCAGTCTTCACAGCAGCGCCAGGAAACGTGAGAATGAGGACCTGAGCACCTGGCTTCGGGCTTCCTGTGGGGTGGAAGGGACTAAATATTTGGGGTCAGAGTTCAGGGGGCAGGAAGTAGAAAATGAGGGGCCTAGGAGGAGCTGTACCTGGCAAGTGAACTCGGTCACTTCCAGACACACAGCTGGTTGGCACAGCCCCACCTGGGGCCCCGGGGTGCCACTCACCTTGTGAAGCCTGTGGACGGAGATAAAGACAGGCCATGTGCCTGGCATATTAGGAAAGAGCCGATGGCGTCTGTGTGTCCGTGTGTGAAGGTGAGGGGAAAGGTGAGCACTTTCCCCAAAGCAAACAATCGAACTGTTAGTATATGAAACTAGCAGGTCAGTGTTGGAAACTAATGGAATCTAGTAAGAATGGATGAAAATTGCTATTAAAAACAACACCGCCGACGCCGCCGACACCATAACCACAGGGAATGTCCTGGTCGATTTTTCAGCTAATTGAAAAATGCAAGGACGTGGCCTAAGCAAAATACCATGAGGCGGCTGGGAGGTTGGTTTGGCAAAAGAGCGACTTAGTCTCCGGATTGCTCTTTCTTAGGAATCTCACAACAGGCCAACCCTGCCCCGGCCCAGCCCAGGCAGCTGCGCGCCTTCCTCTCTGCTCCTCTGACCTCTGGTCTCCTCCGGGTGGCAGCCCCAGGTGCCCCGGATCCAGCTGTGCCATGCCAGGTGGCGAGGCCTGCTTTCTCACGGTGCCCGCGGGTACCCAGGGTGCATTTCACCTGTGGCCCCGGAATGACTTGGAGGAATGAGTCTGCAGCTGGCGCTTCGCAGGGATTTCATCAGAAAAGGGTGCGGTTCCCTGGGCTGGCACTAGCCAGTCTTTGTTACATTGTATCATCCAAGAACAACTATTAACCAAGTCTGGGAAGGGTAATTGGTCACTGCAACCCAGCTGACGGTTATATAACTGTGGCCTATTTTGGTAATGTCATTCAGAGCTCCAACACAGAAACAGGCTGACACCCCAACTTGTGAGCAGCTTGGACAGTGCTCAAAGGTTGGGTTGGTTTAAAGAGAGATGGGGGGAAGGGAGGGAGAGGGAGAGGAAAGAAAGAAATTAGTATCTCTGAAAGAGAAATTAGCTTCCAGAGGAGTGGTGCACGGATCCTGGTTGATAACCTGCATCAGGGGCTAACTCTGTGACCTTGGGCGGTGACATTACTGTGTATAATGCTGTGCATAACGGCTTACAGTTTCCAGGACACGTTCACAGTCATTCGATCCTAACAGTAACCAAGTACAAGTACAGTAGCTGCTGATTTCTGTGTGTATGTGAGGGAGAGGGGGAGAGAGAGCGCGCCATGAGTTGAAGGAGCTGACTCATTCACTCCGCTGTGTATACTCAGAAGTCACACCAGACTCTCCTCGGCTTCCAGCCCCATCCTGGAGCTCTTGCTGCCGTGGCCGTGTCACAGACCGCGCCTGAGCTGTGCAGGGTCTGCAGAACACGGGATTTTCAGAGGCGCGGCAGCCATCTTCTAAATAAGACTTTTTTTTTTTTTTTTTTGAGCAATGTCAGGTTTACAGAAAAATGGAGCAGAAAATGCAGCCTGCCCCGTGACCCTTTGTCTGCCTCCCTTCCCCCGTGTGCCCGCTTGTTAAAGTCTTGAATCACTGAGTATACACGCGTGATACACAAATACTGGTCCACTGTTAGTTTTGAAGTCCATCGTTGACATCAGGGTCATCTCGGTGTTGCATATTCTATGCATTGGGAGGAATGTATGTCACCAATCTACTTTACAGTTTCAGGAACACTAAACCACTGCTCTGGAATCATCTGTGCCTCCTGTCCATGTCTTCCTCTCCCCCCATCCCACTCCTCCCCTATCCATCCTCCCCCTCCCCCCTCCATCTTGTCCTCCTCCTGCTTGTCAATCCCATCCCCCTCACTCCTGTCTATCCCCTCCCCCTCCCCTCCCCCATCCATCCCCTCCCCCTCCCCCATCCATCCCCTCCCCCTTCTTCCCGTCCATTCCTTTCTCCCCTCTTGAGCCTCTGGTACCACTTACCATGTCCAAACTTTGGGGGGGGGGGGTTGTTCGTGATTTTTTTCTAACATATAAATTTCAGTTGAGCATCATGATCATCATGATCAAGAGATTCTGGCTTGTTTGTTACTGTAGCCTTAGGGGGGAAATGAGCTTCGTTACCTAGGTCACCAAAGAGGTGAGTTCGAGCACACCGAGGGTCCTGCACCCTGCCTTCGCAAAGTTAGGTGTCAGCGTCAGTCCTGCCCATCCTCTTCCTCCTCTGGAAAAAGGGCCGTTCCCAAGGGATTGAGCACGTGGGAATGAAGGGTCCCCTCCCCCCCACTCACTCCTGTCTCACTTTTGCTTGCTAAGAAAAACAGGAAGAAATGCAGCTGCCACTGGACTGAAAAGATGGTCTAGAATCTGCCTAGAGGAAGGAGCTGGTCCAGGCTCAATGAGCCACAGCCCCTTTTATCTGGAACCCTCTTCTCATGACTCATAATTCTTTCACCCTCCCCTCCCCTCTTCCCCCCCCCACCCCAAACTTTTTTTTCTAGTGAGATTTATAGGCCATTAAAGTAACCGTGGATTCAGCCATTCACATCCGACTCTTTAGGAGATCAACTGAATTCCCTACCTGAGCAGACTGTCTGAGTGATGGTTCTCAGGAGTCTTTCTTGGAACAGCCTCTTCACTTGAACCTGGGAAGAAAAAAAAACTCAGAATAATTAGCCTTTGCATCAGACCATCCAGCACCTTTCTCTACCACCCTTCCTCCCTCCCTCCTTCCTCCTCTTCCTCTTTGCCTCCCTCCCTCCCCCCCCCCCCTTTCCAGTCAAGGACGTTGAAGAGGCTGGTCAGTGCCACCCCTGGGTGTAACACCTCAGCGTGTGCCTTTGCAGGGACTTTTCCAGCTTTACCTAGAAGAGAACTAAGCAGAACCTCGGGGCTTGTGGTCAGCCGGCTTCCGGCTGTGGCTTCAGTTAGTTTGTCTGCTCTGACAGAGGAAACCCTTGCAGTGACGGGAACAGCCCGGCCTGGCCGGATTGTAGCCGGACCAGGGCAGACAGTGCCTCATGACATTGGCATGTGAGCTGCCAGTAGCAAGGAGAGTTAGGGAAGCTCCGAGGGGTTGTCTCAGACCCAGAGAGACAGATGCTCTGTGGCCCCACAATCCACGCCCCCCCCCCCCGCCCACCTCAAACACGTACTCATCCCAAAAGAGTTCACATACACACAAAATGTCTTAGTCAAAGATTAGAGTTTTTTTTCCCCAAAAAACTACACTGAAGCCAAGACAGTGAGCCATAGTTTTGATCCTGAATAGATATTTTTTTTTCTGGCACGATTATGCAAACACTGCTAGGCCTTCAGACTCAGGCTGGTGGAGAGCTGCGGGTGACAGGCTTTGCTGGAATAATTTAGCACTCAGACAAGCTCAGCATTTTCTAAGCAATCCTTAGCTGAATAGAAAGTCACAGGATTTAGGTGTTCTCTCTCTGCTCCCACACTAGAGATTGGAATAGTCTAAACATTTTAATTTGGAGCTGTAGATTTTCTGTGCCGAGCCGAACCTGTTGGTGAGGAGCGTTACACCACAGTGAATGAGCAGGATGCAAAACCAACTGGAAATTGAGAGAGCAGTCTGGCTAGAACTGCTAATTAATTTTAACTACTGGGTAATTTGATATTTGACTTGACAGGCCAGATGATTATTTAATTAAAATACTGGCAGTGCTGCGTGCTGGTGGCTCACGCCGGTAATCCTAGCTCCTCTGGAGGCTGAGATCCAAGGATCATGGTTCAAAGCCAACCCAGGCAGAAAAGTCCATGGGACTATTATCACCAGTGAACCACCACAAAGAAAACCGGAAGTAGAGCCATGGTTCAAGTGGTAGAGCACCAGCCCTGAGCCAAAAAGCTAAGGAACAGTGCCCAGGCCATGAATTCAAGCCCCTAGTACTGGCACTAAAAAAAATAATAAAATACTAGCAATAGCTAGGATCTCAAATTTGGGAGTCTACAGATTTCAGAGCAGGCTACCCAGGCTGCTTGGATTCTGTGTAGTGTGAGTTAGGAACTTGTGGGATCCTTCCTGCACCAGCTTTTCATTATGAGGAATTGAAGGAGGTGGTAGGGGTGACTGGTGAAACTCCAGTTCTTCTTTTGCTGTTCTTCCTTTGTGTCTAAGGTCTCTGACTGGACCATGGAGGATGAAGGCATCTTCCCAGGGTCAGAGTTTATGGCCCCGAGAAGCCTGTAACCTTTCCAGGGGGAGGGGGGGTTCTCTTGACATCTTTACAGTTAGCTGCAGTTTCATGCTTTACTCCAGGTCCTTGGGGTAGGGTGTGCAGGTGTTAGGCGTTGTCCCTTAGCTGTTTCTGCCCAAGGCTGGCGTCCTACCACTTGGGCCACACCTCTACTTCTGCCTTTTTGGTAATACAGGGTCTCACAGACTTTTCTGCCTGGGCTAAACCTGCAGATAGGATCCTCAGATGCATTATCGCTGCCTATGTACTCCTGCCATAGAACCTGCATGTCCCAGGATTACAGATGTGCGAGTATAGCCACACAAATCAAGGGGAAAGCATGTCGATTTCAGTCCTCTCCTTCACTACGGGAGCAGGTGGTGGCCTTGGTGACCAGTGGCCCCTTTCGCACAGTCAGCACTCACTGGCAACTTGTGTCTTGGAGCCAGAGCTTCTCCAGAGGCAAAGCCCACAGCCTGAGCCCTGCTCTAGACCATGGCCATGGGATAGTCCTTGAACTAATGCACGCTGCAGGCCGGACCTGCATCCTTCTCCTCTTTGGATCTTCAGCGCTTGGCCCTGAGCTAGGCACAGAAACTATCAGGGCACCGGTGACTCGCATTTGTCATCCTAGCTACTTAGAAGTCTGAGATCTGAGAGCCACCATTCAAAGCCAACCCCAGGCAGGAAAGCCTGCTAGACTGGTTATCTCCAGTTAACCACCAAAAATTCAGAAATGGAGCCGTGGTTCAAGTGGTAGAGTGCTAGTGTTGAGCACAAAAACTCAGGGACAGTGCCCAGTCTCCTGAGTTCAAGACTCATACACATACACATACACATTCAGGAAGTGGAAGAAGCCTGCATTTTGTGTTTGTTCAGAGACAGTCCTTGCTGGGAGGAAGGGGTAGAAATCACACACGCCAGGAAAGAAGATGGAAATCTACCACAGAAAGCAATTCTCATTCTTACCTGTCATTATACAGTCATTTGTTATTAGGATTAGGAAGCGATACTGCTCCCTGAACTTGAAGCTGTGTGCAGACTCACGCATGGATCTTCTGGAATTTTCTGAGGACCTCATTCATGCAGTCTCCTTTGGAAATGTGCATTTCCTATTTTTATGGAGGGTCTGCTAAGCAAATGAACATATGAGAGGTTGGAGAGCCAAATTTCTGATGAATTCACTAACATTTCTAGGCTGCGCAGCATATAACCACACATCAGTAAGAAGTTACAACAGGTGAGTCCTTGTTCCTTGCTAACTCCGTGTTCTGATGAGGCAGAACATCCTCACCCCGGTCTCTCCCTCCCCTCTCTTTCCCTCCCCACCCCATGCTTTTCACTAATGAGCCAGTCTCCCTCATATCACCCCCAGCTCCAGCTACTCCGGTGTTTCCTCCACCTCTGCCCCTTTGGCACCAGCAGAACCAAGAACTGACCTTCCTCGGGCCTGCCCCTTTCACAGAGAGGGTTCTAGACATCCACTTGCTGGCAGTTGGTTCTGTCTTTTAATGGTCCTCTCCACTGCTGTGTAGCGTGCTTGTTTTCTTTCTTTCTAGATCTCCACTCCTCAACTGAGGAGCCCTGTCTCCTTTTAGGTATCCAAGCCATTTCTCCCTTCAAGATGTCCGGGAGGCAGCAACCGGGACTGTCTTGGAAGCTCATGCTTATATCTTGTACTGAGATACCATTATATCTTTCTGTTGTATCCCATGAGCCAAGCATGTGGAGATCCAGAAGGATCTGTAAAATTTGTTACATTTTTTAAAAATACTTTCAAGGCTTATACTTGTTATGTGAATTCAAGTTAAGTATTAAATATCCCCAGTTATCCTCGGTTATAACTTACAATTGGCAAGCACTAGATAATTCTCAGGATCTCCTATAGAAAACAGCCACTCACTGGGTGTAGGTGACTCATGCCTGTAATCCTAACTACTCAGGAGGCTGATCTGAGGATTAGTGTTCGAAGCCAGCCCGGGCAGGAAAGTCTATGAGACCCTTATCTCCAATTATGACCAAAAAGCTGGAAGTGGAGCTGTGGCTCAAGTGATAGAGTGCTAGCTTTTGGCTAAACAGCTCAGGGACAGTGCTCAGCCCCTGAGCACAAGCGCCAGGACTGGCCAAAAAAAAGAAAGTAGTCATTAGTCTGACCTCTACCCTGGGGCCACGTCACTCTCCCTTTTGAAGCCTCGGTTTGCTTGCATTGTGCACACAGAGGTGGCATGCAGGGGTAAGACAGCGGATGGGCACATTCTGTCATATCTTAATGGGTGGTGTGCCCGGAGACTGCACAGAGTCAGACAGTGCAAATGGACTTCTTGGTGTTTCCTCTTCAGTGTATTCCCCCGACATTTCTAACAGTCCACAGTGGGTAGCTTGGACCTCTGGCAGCTGGGGTTGGCCTTCCCTGGGTGTGCAGCTTTGAGTGTTGACTGCCGGATTGGTCGTCATTGTCTCTTCCTCTCACGGGCTGGTTAGCTAGTGGCAGGGGCTGTTCACCCCTGTCGCCCCTCCGCGATGCTGCCTTCTGGAACACTGGGCATCACATACTCTTGATCATGGGGATATTATTCTCTTGGTGGGCAGATGGATGGACAATGACTCTAACCAGTGCTAGGTCAACTGCGGCTTTATAGTAGAGAGCTAGTGACTTCTCTAGCAAAGAAACACTTCAGAATTTTTTTTATTTTTATTTATTTATTTAGTCAGTTGTGGAGCTTGAACTCTGGACCTGGGTGCTGTCCCTCAGCTCTTCAACTCAAGGTGAACACTCTACCATTTGAGCCACAGCGCCACTTCCAGTTTTCTGGTGGTTTATTGGGGTTCAGAGTCTCACGGACTTTCCTGTCTGGGCTGGCTTTGAACCATGATCCTCAGATCTCGGCCTCTGAGTAGCTGGGATGACAGGCCCGACTCACCAGTGCCCACTGCAGGTGTAGAAGGCAGCCTCTGAAACATGGGCTATTTTGTTGAATGATTTTTTGCCCATGACTCTACAGGCACAGACTTGAAGTCACATGCCAGTCACGTGCTTCTGTCCATTCGGGAAGGTAGGAACTGCATTTTGTCCTCCAGTGTTGGCTGCAAACTGCACAGGCCACTGTTTAAGCCTAGATGATCAGGGTCCATGCAGGAATGAGTCCATCCCTGTATCCTTCCAACCTTCCGCTGCCAGTGCTGCCTCCCAAGAGGCAGCGGAGCAGTGAGCTCCCGGTAGTTGGTGCACCCTCCTGGCGTCTTACTCAGTTGCTCTCAAATCCACGTGATGCCCCAGTGAAAGGTGGTTTGCCCTCTGAAATTTTGTGTAACTGGTTCTTCTACCTTACGCGATTGCCTTGGGTCAGAACAGCTGAATGATCTCACTCGATGTGTGATATATAGGCTCATGGAATTTTTGCTTTTTATGTTAACTATGCTGATGCCTTCTATTAGAAACAGCAGAGGTTGGGAAACTCTGGCCATGGGCCAAAGCCGGTCTGCCACCGCCATTTTGAAATGCTTCATTAGAATATTTCCACGTCTATTTCCTTATATATTACCGGGCAGAGGCGGGGGGGGGGAGGGGGGGAAGGGTATATACTAGCCTAGTAGTTGTATAGTTGTAACAGAGACCATATGGTCCTTAAAGCCAAAAATATTTACCTCCAGAAAATATTGACTGTACTAATATACTAATGTGGCTGACTCATAAGATGCATAACGTGACAATACTACTTTCTCTGTGTGTGGTCCAGCCATGTGGTCCAGGTGAGAATGATAGCAAACAGATCTAGAATGAATCCCTTTTTGTCCCTGGCTCCTGTTGCTTAGACTTCACTTACGGTGAGAAATACCATTCACATGTATAAGTAATGGCATCAGAAGGGCATCAGAAGGGCTGACTTGTACTAGCAGACAACATCCACCCGGACAGAGTGCCAGTGTCCACTAGCTAAAAGCTGGGGACACGGTTAAGGAACCCACTCCTCATTTTTGGCCACTTAACAACCCCTTCACCCACACAAACTCATAGACACACACCTCTTAATGCCAGAATACAGAGCCTTCAGCTTCGTTTTACTGCCAGTATTTGTACATAGCTTATCTAGAGTAAGGTTTTGTAAAATACACAACATGAGTACTGACACAGGCCGGTTCGGAGACAGAGCGCAGGATGGGGGTCGCCCCGGGTACTCGACAGGGCGGGAGCCTCACTGGGGAAGATGAAAAACACACCGCTGAACCTGTGCACCTAAAAATGGCTGCCTTCACATTGCCCGTTTCACCCAAACGTAAGGCAGAGCTCGTCAGCCATGAAAGTCATTTGCAAAGGTCAGAGCCGCAGTGGCAGTATTCAAAGTTGCCGCTCTGGGACTCTAACTTGAAAACCCATTTTCCCCTCTGTATTTAATTTTGCAGTGAGTTCCTCTTCTAAGAACTAAGAATTTGGGGGGATGAGGTGCTGAAAGTGTGGCTAGAACGACAGCAGAGCAAACAGGCCGACGCAGATCATGAGGCCCTGAGTTCAAACCCTAGGACTGTGAAACAAAAACCAACATTCAGGAGGGGGCAGGCGTGACACTGATCAAGATGCACCACACACACACGTGGACATGTTTCAGTGACGTGAAACCCCTTTGGACAATGTTGCTAAATAGCCCAGGGCGGGGGGGGGGGGGGGGGGGAGGCAGGAAAGAATTAAGGGCTTCGTTATGTTACAACTAAAAAGATTGTTGTTAAATGATCAAAAAATAAACAGAACAGTAACTGCGACAGAGACAATGTCATGAGGGATGTCACTTGGGAAAGTCACACGGTGAAGGCTTTCCTGCCTCTGCCCTATTAGAAATAATTCTCACTGGGCGCCGGTGGCTCACACTGAGGCTGAGGTCTGAGGATCACGGTTCAGAGCCAGCCCAGGCGGGAAAGTCCATGAGACCCTGATCTCCAATGAACCACCAGAAAACTGGAAGTGGCACTATGGCTCAAGCGGTAGAGCGCTCACCCTGAGCTGAAGAGCTCAGGGACAGCGTCCAGGCCCAGAGTTCAGGCCCCACGACTGACTAAAAGAAGAACTCTCACCCTCGCTCTCCCCTGTGGGTTCCAGGAAAGGAACCTGGACTGGTTCCCCAGGATGCGGGCCATGTCCTTGGTGAGCAGTGACTCGGAGGGAGAGCAAAACGAGCTGCGGAACCTGCAGGAGAAGCTGGAGTCCACCATGAAGCTGGTCACCAATCTCTCTGGCCAACTGTCGGAATTGAAGGACCAGGTAAGGAAGAGGGGGAGTCCTACCCCCCCATCCCTCCCACCCCCCACACAAACACTCACCACCACCACGCACCACAAAAACCCCACGAGAGGGGAAAATGAGTCATGCTTGTGTGACCGTGTGCACCTGGACAGAAGGACAGATGCTACCCGCCAGCCAGTCCCTCCATCTCCCTCCCCGCCCCGTTCAGGGACTCTTTTCAGGGTTGCTGGGGACACGGTGTGGATGTGAGAAACAAAACCAAAAATAAGCGAGGAAATGCAAACTACTTCAGTGAAGTGCTGAACCAAAAAGAAAAAAAACACAAGTGCATCAAGCTAGAACCTTTTTTACTTTAGTCACAGATGAGATTAAAAGTTACTTGCTTCATCATCCTCAGATAGGTTGAAATCTCACCGGGTTATTTTTAAAATTCAGTATCCTATGGATAAACCATAGTCCTGGGGAAAGTCCTTTTGGCCTAATTCACTTGTCAAAAAGCGTACTGAGTTGCTGCCAGAAGAGAGGCATCGGGCCAGGTGCTTGGCTGGAAACAGGCATCAGTAAGAGAAGGCAGTCCCTGCCTTCCCAGAGTCTGAGGCTGCAGAGAGGCCACTCGCGTTCACCCTGACCCCCACCCGCACAGCCAGGGCTGTGCCCCTTGACCGAGGTTGGGGCGGGGCAGCAGGCAGGTGTGTACTGAACCTGATACATTGCATCCCCCTTCGATGCACTTCGCATGAACACAACGCAGACCTCGGGTGGTTCCCTAGCAACAACAGGACGCTGCTGTTCCCAGTCAAGGACTAGAGCCCAGGATGGTGGGTGGGACCTGAGCTTGACTTCCTGTGGCCAACTGGATCATCATGTACAGATGGGTACAATTCAGCATTTTTATATGAGCTTCCGGAAGCTTTATAATCAATTCCATAGATGAGATTATAAATTTTGCTCAGCAGTAGATCCCAGGCAAGCCTGCCGGGAGGTAAATTGCAAGGTGCACGCACAGGTGATTTATGACTCTTGTGTACAGTATCAATCCCGAAGACCTCCTCGACAATATTGGAGTTGTTTACAGAGCATTTTTAATAAGCCTTCTTTTGACTTATATTTATTTTCCAACTAAATTATTCCTGACTGTGCCCTAAGACACCATTTGATGCTCAAGTTCTTTTCTCTCACGTGTCCTGAGATGCAAACGAGAACAGGCTAATGAGCGAAGAAGGCTTAATGGATGAAGGCTGTCCACAGCCCCGAGCTGGTAGCCACCCAAAATGAATAATAACCAGAATAAGTGAAACTAATAAAGATCTAACAAGATTAGTTTGCTTATTACCTTTTTTGCCCTGCTGTGAAACGTTTGACAAATGGTCTCCCCGGCCAGACTGACGTATGAGTTCATCGGCTGCTGCAGCTGCCTCTGCCCGTGAGGCTGAAGAGCGGCCCACGCTGCGTTTCTTCCTCAGTTAGCTGTGGTATTAAGAGGCTCGGTTACCTCATATGCTTTAAATTAGGTGTCAAAAAAACAAAATCTGATGACTCTGATCTACAGCAGACTTAAATTAAGGAGCTACTCAGGTCTCCACAAAGTCTGGTGCCATTCTTCAGAGAAATCATCTGTGCTTCTGGCCCATGACACCAAAACTGCAGCAGCCACAGCCTGGCAGCTCACGCAGGTCCCTGGCCACACACCGGTCCAGGATCGGTCGTGACTGCTGCTCAGCAGCACATCTGGAAGTTCTGGAGGGGGTGTCTCTGTTAAGGCGAGCGATTGGGCACTTCCTTAAGACCAAAACAACTGTGTTTGGGATATTGCATGGAAGTAAAACGAAGCCAGCCCCTTCCTCCAGCCTCTGTTTTTGTTGTTTTGGGGTTTTTTGTGGGTTTTGTTGGTGGTGGTGGTCATGGGGCTTGAACTCTGGGCCTGGGCTCTGTCCCTGAGCCCTTCAGCTCAAGGCTAGTGCTCTACCACTTTTAGCCACAGCGCCACTTCTGGTTTTCTGGTAGTTTGTTGGAGAAAAGAGTCTCTTGGGGACTTTTCTGCCTGGACTGGCTTTGGACCGCAGTCCTCAGATCTCAGCCTCCCGAGTAAGTTAGGGTTACAGGCGTGAGCCAGCAGTGCCCAGCTCAGGCTCTGTTGAAAATCCCTGGCCTCCCAGAGTCTCTTGGGCTGAGTTGTTCTGAGCATGATTCTTAAACTGCCTTAAGACTCAACTTTGCAAACCAGTGAGCCCCATCCCGGGACTGAACAGAGCTCTATAGCTAGAGGCCGTCTTGACCCCACCGTAGAGCCCTCTTACTCAACCCCTTGTTTTCTAGATGAAGATGCACAGAGGTCATAGGAAACGTTTGCAGCTTCACATAACAGCACCACAGTGGGGGTCCTACCCCCCCCCCACGCAGTGTGGGGTTGCTTTTATGTGGTACATGTGTTTTGTCACGTGGTGTGTGTTATTTTGTCACTGTACTGTTTGCCTTTCATGGTTGACTGTTAGGTTTTTTTTTTTAAGTTCTTACTCATTTTTTTAAAAAATAAAGCTTTGATCGCTTCAGAAGTCATGCGCTTACAAGGCCTCCAGGCCTCTTCCCCCCCCCCCCCCCCCCCCCCCACACACACACACACACAGCAGAGCGTAGTACAGGCTCAGCATTTATCAAATTCAAGGTAGACGTGTTCCTGTTAAACCAAGAGTTTGGCTTAAAATTTGATGAAGTAGGCACTAAGATATATTTACTCACATTCGAATCAATATGGTTCAAACTGCTTGGTTCCAGCCCTGTTTATATTTTTGTCATCTGTCTGTCTGTCTGTTTAAAAGTTGGTAGTTAGAAGCACTCCTGAGAAAAACTCTTCCCCTGTGAATGATGTTTAAATTGAGCCTTTTTTTTTTTTCTTGGAAGCTATTATAGGCGACAAAGAAGTGTGAAGAGCACTAGTACATTCTCAAGCACTTTTACCAGGATTGATTTAGTTGAGTTCCAGTGCGCCCAGAATGACAGGATAATTACACTCCAGCTGCTGGGGGGGTGGGGGGGGGAGGGGAGGGGAGGTGGGTTCTACTCAAGAAGTTAGCCAGTGCTCTCCTTTAAAGATGGTGTTACTTCTAACACATAGTGCATTTGCTGGAGAATCAACTTGTTGAATAGATGTGAGTTTTATTGTGTCTGGTGTTACAAGACTCATAAAGACTTCTTAAATGGTTACATATAACAAGTCACACCGATCTGTTAGAGAAATACTGCGTCTGAGCAGTAATTGTGAGGCTTCCTGTCCTATGGAGGGGGAAATATTAGAGAGAAAAAAGCCCCACACATGATTAACGAACAAGAAACTCTTACCACTGATTTTTTTAAAAACAATTTTATGAAAGAATGCCATTCACTGGTCTAAAAAAAAAAAGCTGGAAAATAAAAATTGCTTCATTACTTAGATATTTGGTAGATTTCTTCTGCCCCCAAAACTGGTGATAGAACAATGGTTGTATAAATATGGATGACTTTAGTTTTAATCCTCACTGTTACTGAGGTCTTTGGTGGTGGTTATCTTAAACTTCCCATTGGGGGAGAAAAAGTTCTTGAGAAGAGGGTATAAGTAAAAACATGGGCAGCAGTGTCACTTTTTTCTGTAATTGTCGAGAATAGTTGGTTAGGAGCCCGGTGCCAGTGGCTCACACCTGCAATCCTAGCTACTCAGGAGGCTGAGCTCTGAGGATCGCAGTTCAAAGCCAGCCGGGGCAGGAAAGTCCATGAAACTCTTATCTCCCAATTGACCACCAGAAAACTGGAAGTGGCTCAAAGTGGTTGAGTGCTCATCTTGAACTAAAGAGCTGAGGGACAGTGCCCAGGCCCAGAGTTCAAGCCCCATGACTGACCAAAAAGAAAAAGGGATAGTTGGTTAGAATTACTAATGATGCATCTCATCCTCAAGTTTCCTCTACTAAGAGATTCTGAATACAAAATGTGATTCTCTTACATCCTTATTCCAAGGAGGAGACCTAATGTAAGAACTTACTATTTCTTTGCATGTTTCCTTTATAATGCAAAAGAGCAAATACCTAGCAAAGGCTTCACTTTCTTGAAAATGTGACTGGCTTTCTGTAAGACAGCGAACCTTATCTGTTGTTGCCAGGAATAAAAGAAGTGCTTGACAAATCCAGATCCTATTAGCATGTTGCACTTTTCATGCAAGAGGGTGATCGATCCCATTAACTGGAGAGCGGAATATCCAAGAGACCTCACCGAATGCTGTTCACGTTCTTTTCCCCGTGGTGGGACCACAAAAGAATACCAGGGCAACATCTGGAGAGTAGGCAGTTGGTTCAGTGTGAGACTTGGAGTGAGGAAGTCATTATGCGCCAATAATCCCACCAACAGGTAGCCTTTGAGCTGGTGGAGAAATGCAGTAGGGGCTTCCCAGGAGAGGACTTGGCATGAGCAAAGGCATGACAATGCATGGCATGCTCAAGGAATGGCAGAATGTTCTGGTTAACTCACTTCTTCCTTTCAACCAACACTTGGAAAACCACACATTTTGCCAAACACTACACTAGGTATGGAGATACAAGAACAAGGAGGACCTAGTCTCTGCCTTCTACAACTTGGAGACGAGTAAAGAGGAGATGAGTGGAGCTGAATCCATAGTGTGTTATACACTCATGGCCTATGGGCAGGAAGGAAAGGGAGTGGGCTATTAGCATGCACATAGAAGGAGGCGGGTTGAATCTTTACGCTACAACCTTCTCAGGTGCTAGGGCTAGAGTTTGGTTTCAGGGCTCGCCGGGTATGAGAGAACATTAGAAAACACCTGTAAAAGTCTAAACCATATCCATGTTTTCCTATTAAGTCAGCATATTTGTATTCAAGAGAGGCTTTTGTTTTATTTCTCAGTATTTCAGGGTCATCATCTTATGTGCAGGACCACTTTTATAGGGCTGTAAAATAATTCTGATTGCTAGAGTTTCCTTAGGATTCAGAATCTAAATAACCAGGACCTTACTGTGTGTCTGCCTTGAACACAGATTTTCAAAGACTGGTAAGGTTTCTCGTAAGCCATATTGTGGTGTTCCTGTGCTGTCGATGAACTTTATTTTCTGTGCCAGCCTATAAGCTCTTAAAGGCTGAGTTAGTAGATTAAATTTTGCTCACTTGTGCTCAGTGCCGACTGTTTCCGTGCAAGAGCTTTCGGATGTTTAGCTGCATCTGATTTGTAAAGCTACACATATTCTTTGCTTCTTGTTCAGACTGCAGTCAGAAGGAGGCATTACAGACATTCCAGCTGCTCTCTCTATGTGTACAGACAGGAAGAACAGCGTGGCACCCACTGTCCGCCCCAGCCCAGCGGAACTCCACTGCAACGCAGACATTTCACCCTACTCAAACTGGAAGTGCCAGTGTTCAGATTTTGAATGCAGTTACTTTATACAATGATTCTGATGAATATTGTTATGGAGTCAAATTTTGTTGCACATGTCCAGAAAGAATGCTAGATGAAACTCTGCTAAGGATGTGCTCTGATCGTTACAGATATATAGGTCATAGAAACGGACAGTAAGGATGCCCTAGAGTAAGATGAAAAGAGATGGATGGAGGGATGAGAGAGTAGACAGACTGTGTGTGAACTGATTCACACACACAGTCAGGTTTGGGCTAATAATGCCTGAAATAATCAGACTATGCAGGAGATGATGTAGGAAACCTCAGTGGCCAGGAGCGATGGCCTTGGTTCATTGGTCAGATTTTGTCCTTAGAATTTTTGGGTTTTGTTTTTGTTCCCTCACCACTTACTGGATAACTAAAGGGCAAAGGGACACAAATACTTTAGACATTGCCCAGTTCCTTCTCCTGTTACCAGTCAGTTAAGTCACAACAGCAGCTTTGCATGACTGCCATCCTAAAGGCCAAGCGATCAGAATGGGATCAAACAAATTGGGCCTCTTGTATCCTCAGCTGCAGACGGCCTTCTCCAGCCCTCCCTCTTTCATAGGACAAAAAGGGTTTGTGTACTTTTTAAGTGCTTAAGTAGATGAAACTATATCCACAGTGACCATGGTCTGAAAAGCTCCCCCAAAGAACAGTGGTCCTCACAGCTAAGACCCGAGCGGGCAGCATCTTCATCATCCAGGAGCTTGTTAGAAAGGCAGACTCCTGGGCCCCATCTTGGGACCCGTTGTGAGTCCTTTCATCTGTAATTTAACCAAGTCTCTGGTATCTGCAGTATATGGTGAAGTTTAAGTACCTTTTTTTTTTTTTTTTTTCCGGGGAAAACAGAAGTAAAATTGAATAGGTACTAGGTGCTTGAAATCATGAAGGACCGAAGAATGGGCCACTGATTTCATCACTGGGGAGCGAGCTGTGGGATTGGGGTGGGAGGAAGGGGGGAACAGGATGGTGGGTAGAAAGCCAGCCTGAAAAGTCAAGCGAGGACGGTAAAGAAGGCAGCAGGTGATGGCTGCGGAATGAGAAGCCAGCGCATCAGCTCGGACTCGCTTGCTAGAGGGCATAGGCTGCAGGGATTGAAGCTCCTCTCTCACTACGAGGAGCTACCGGAAGCGCAAGCACAGGGGAAGTCTTTGGGTTGAGAGAGCTCAGAAGTGCACTTTGATAGGAGAGGACTACACTAGGATGTCAAGCTCAAGATGGCTGCCGTTGACTTTCATTGGATTCCCTCTCACGATGGAGGCTGGGGAAAGGAGGCTCTCGGCTGAATGGCTGTAAGCTGAATGAGGGCCTGGCCTGAGCGTCATGGTGGCTTATTCCCCATTCCCTCCCGCTGCCCTGCCACCTGCCACTCCCCAAGGGAAGCGTAGAGGCCGCTGGCCGGCCCTCCGACAGGTCCCTGCAGAAACGCTTCAGGAAAAGCTTCCTTATGGAAATAGTCAACCCCTGTCCAGTTTTTCATCTTCATTACAAAAGGAAAAGCATTTTTACTAGAGCTTCAAAATAGCTTCTTAACGTGGAGGCTTTGGAAAAAGAAAAACAAAAAAACCACGCCACCTTGAAGTTGCAGCTGGAGAAGTTACTCCTGTGTTAGGTTCTCTCACTGTTTTGAACCAAAACTTGTTTCCCTGAAAACCGAGATCTCTGCATCTTCCCTGCCGTGGAAGTGAGCAGCACCCCTCTGTCCTGTCAACTGTAGCCAGGAGACAGGAAGTGCCACCCCTAAATAAGGAAACGGACTTTGAGCCGGTAAATGACACACCATAAGGAAATAGTCTCATCCCAAGCCCACATTCTTTCTTACGCCTCTACCCTGACTCCTCTCAGTTTAGGGAACCAGAACTCCAGGCAAGGAACCGTTAGCCACTTGTGTACCGTCTCACCCCCTGTATCCTTCATACATCCTTTTTATCCTAACTGGCTTACATATCAGCCTCAGAGCCAGAGCCAGGAGTAACTGAGTGAAGCCAAGTCTTGATGCAGGGAATTAAGTACCCTAAAATACGTAGAAAACACTCAGCAGAGATACAAGAACACCCTTAGCTCCACAGCCAAAAAAAGAACTCTCTTGCTAAGGGCTATGGAAGCACTTGTCTGAGAACCTGCCTTCAGGAAATTTCCATCTCTATGACTGGCAAGGAAGGCAGCATTGGAGGCCAGCACATCGTGTACAGCATCTAGTCATTCTGGACCTTGGGGAGATGTAATGGAGACTTCTCATCTTCCACGGGGAATGGGGTACCCAGCACCAGTGGCTCACATCTGGAGTCCTAGTTACCCAGGAGGCTGAGGGCTCTGAGGATCACTGGTCAAAGCCAGACCAGGCGGGAAAGTATGTGAGACTCCTGCCTCCAATCATCCACCAAAAAGCCAGAAGTAGAGCTGTGACTCAAGCGGTAGAGTGCCTGAGTTCAAGCCCCAGGATCACACAAGGAAGATCAATAAAAATAGAGAACTAGATGGGTTTTTTTCCCCCATCTAACCACCCATCAAAGCAGCACTGGCAGGAAGCAGCCCGAGCTCCTAACGGAAGTGGGCACAATCTCCTCTAAACACACAGCTTTCCTGATAGCAGGCCGTGTGGACACTTTTCCTCCCAAGCCACCATTTTCCAATGGGTCATTTGGAAATGGTTTGGGGAAACAATGAAGAATCCCTGTGCTTGTCCTGTTCCGTTGTTTCGTTATGAAACAAGTAGCAGCGGTACTTCTGAATGTCACGTTGCATGAAGAGGCCACAGAATCCCCCATCCCGCTTAGGAAGACCCTGTGTTGGAAGTTCTGTGTGTTTGAGATGGTGACAGGACTCGTATTTGTAGAAAGTGGGTTTCAGTACCAACCCTAACCACAGAGTTTAGTCAATCTATGGTTCAGCATATGAGCTGACGCACAGGAAGTATCTAGGTCTCATGATGAAACTTTTTAACTTTCCAGATGACAGAACAGAGGAAGCAGAAACAAAGAATTGGCCTTCTAGGACATCCTCCTCACATGAATGTCAACCCACAGCAGCCGGCCTAAGCAGATGCGCTACAGGAGTGGTATTTACCCTTTTCAGTTATCAGCGGTGTGGGTGCGGCTAATCACTTCTGATTTCAGCCACTGAGGTTGCGTCCACACTTAGTACATTTGTAAATACTCAGTTTTTCTACCATATGTATATGATTGCTACTCTAAAGGTTTGGATATATGTATTGTAAGTAGATTTGTTGGCATAATGACTTTTCATTTGTGCCAAAAAAAAAAAATATATATATATATATTTTAAAAAATGCCTTTCTTGGAAGGACTAAAGAAAGCACCTGATTTGCACTTGAACCAGATTATTGACTTAAAAGTATACGACATGTATTTTGTATTTAAAAAACTAGTATAGCCAGTATTTATGTCATTTATATATATATACATATATATAAAACTGTGCAATACGAATTATGTAATCACGACAAATTTGTAACTCCCGCATACCCTAATAAGGGAGTGTCCATCTTTGAAGCTGGTGTGTGAATACTATGTAATAAATGGTTAAATATCAAATGATGCTGCTGCCAGAATTATATTAATAGTGAGTTTCAGGCCCTTGGGCATCCCATACCATGTAATTATCCTATGGTGATGCTTTTTCTCCTTGCTAGTAGCATCCGTGCCTCTGTCTCTTAGTGACATGCGCCAAGTCTAGAAACTGTACAATCAACATTCATTTTAAAGAAAAACAACCTTAGTTTCAAGGATACTTTTAAGCTTCTAAATCTATCATTTAAACTACATCTTTAAGTAAGAGCCATATTAGAGGCTCACACTTTAGCTTGTGAAGAATTTAGTGAACTCTTTTTTTAAAGGGAACCTTTTAAGTATTGTTTGAGATAACTGAGAATTTGTTGGCCAACCCAGTATCACGTCCAGGGTGAATTTCGATGTCATGTTCTGAGGAAATAAGGTAACACCGATGGTGGTTTCCAGGTTCTTTAGTCCAAACAGTAGAGTTGTATTTTCCTTCATCGGAACCATCTGGCTACCGTGGCGAAGGATGAAAACTCTGTGCATCCATGTGAAGTTGAGATTGGAGCTGTCCCCTGAGAATCCGTACTTGAACACTGAACACTGACATACGTGGACCTCTTGTGAAAGAGCCGCGCTTTGGCTTTATTCCTTCATCACCTGAGTTCTTGTCTGGATGGATGAGAGGGATGAGGGAACTTTGCTACCTAGTTTTGTACCTGGGTCTCATTTTACTCCAGAGCCTCTCTGCAAAAAAAATAAAAATAAAAAAAGTTTCAACACGTATCAATAGCAGATTTCTGAACTGAGAGTCAAGTTTGTAAATGCATATATAAAAATATTTAATAAATGATGCAGAATAATAAAAGTGGCGGATGGGTTTCATTTGTCATTTCTTCGGGACTGCAAAGCTATTCCAGTTACTTAACTTGCCTCAGGACTAATTCAAACTACAGCTAATTTGGTGATCAGGTTGGTTCAGAAAATGCTGAACCTCGATTATTAGGAGAAATAAATAACTATTGTTATGGTAACTCCGATGAAAACCACTGGAAAAGCATTTCAGGGATGGGGGAGAGCCTCATACAATGGTCATTCACCGGGCACGTGACAGCGGCAGCTGCAGTCCAGGGCCTCGCCTGTGCTGCCACGTGGTGTCCAGGTGAAACCGTGGTCACTCACAGTTGGAGCTTAGTTTAGTCACACTCCCTGCTAGGGGTCCCATAGGATTGGGAGAGGTGGTGCATCGTACTCATACACTGACAGGTACCTACTGCCAGGATAAAAATAAATCCAAAGTAAAAGGGGTTTTTAATTTTTCATTACTATAAAGACGATATTCAGAGGGGTTACAGTTAGGTAAGACAAGTAACGAGTACATGTCTTACTGGACAGGGTCCACCCCTTCTGTCACTCTGTCCCAGTTTTTCCCTCCAACCCTACCTATCAGTTGTATGAGTTCATTGTCAGCACAGTGTCTAGTGAATACCAGTCCTATATTTGGTCACCCTTTGTCCCTCCATTTCTGTGCCCCCAAGTAAAATGTTCTTACAAAACTATTCATTCCAAATGGAGAAAAACGTGTTCCTTCCTAGGCCATGGTCTCCTTTTCTAATTTCCAATACTGAAGCTTCAACTCAGGGCTTACCTGCTGTCCCTTAGCTTTTTTTGCTCAAGGCTGGTGCTCTACCACTTGAGCCACAGCTCTACTTCCAGCTTTTTTTTTTTCTTGAGGGGGTGGAGGTGGTTAATTGGAGATGAGTGTTTTGAGTTTGTTTGCCTGAGCTGGCTTTGAACTGTGATCCTCAGCCTAAGTAGCTAGAATTGTAGGTGGGTTTTTTTTTTGTTTGTTTTTTTGGGTCCGGTCGTGGGGCCTGAACTCTGGGCCTGGGTGCTGTCCCTCAGCTCTTCAGCTCAAGGCTAGCGCTCTACCACTTGAGCCACAGTGCCACTTCTGGCTTCTTTCTTTTTGCTTATGTGGTGCTGAAGAATCGAACCCAGGGCCTCATGCATGCAAGGCAAGCACTCTACCACTGAGCCACCTTCCCAGCCCCGTAGGTGTTCTTTTTTGACCAGTTTTTGTGCATTGAGAATTGGGTCAGGATTAAATTCCAATTCAGTGAGTAGTTTCCAATCCCATGCTTCCACTTTATAAATTCGCCAACTGAAAAAAAAATACAAATTATTCATTTTCCAGTCAGTGTACCCTATGTGCACGGACTTTTTTCCATCATCGGGCAAGCCTGGGATCCACACAGGCTTTCCTAACTAAAACCAAAAGGGGCTCTGTGCTCAGCCACGCATGCGCACCCTAGCCGGCAGGGACTTGCTGTTCCCTTGGGCTGTGCTCAGCCACGCATGCGCACCCTAGCCGGCAGGGACTTGCTGTTCCCTTGGGCTTTCTCTTTGCTTCCTCACACTGCCCAGCGCCCAGTGGCAGTGTGTGTGGTTGGTCTCCCAAGTCCCAGCCAGTTCTAGAAAGTTCTGCATTGACATGTTGAGGTGGCAGTGTTTACAGGGTTGTCATGTTTCATTTGAACCCTGTCACGGAAGATAGGAATCTCTGTCTGGCTTGCCAGCTTGCACCGAGAATCATTGAGATTGGGATGGTCTCCACCCTGGTGGAGCAGGTCCGCCCTACCTGTGGCGTCTGGGTGTCAGCAGCAGAGCACCTGCGACGGGATACGGCATGTGGAGAAGGCCCCACTGCTGCTGGGAACGGGCTTCGGCCTGCTTCCTGCACACGGCACCTCACAGCACCTTGATTTCGGGGATGGAGACCAAGGTCACCTTCACACTGACCTACCATGCAGAGGAGGGTCGGCAGGTATCAAGGATGGGGTACAGTGATGTCATTTGGGATTTTATCTAACCCTACGCAAATTGGCCATCACACCAATTTTGCTTCCAAACTTTGGCAAATTTCCTTCTACTCCCCCCTCACCCCCCCCCACCCCCACCAGGCCTAGTCAGAATTGTCTGGGGAGCAGGCACCAGTGGCTCACACTTGTAATCCTAGCTACTCAGGAGGCTGACATTTGAGGATCATGGTTCAAAGCCAGCCTGGGCAGAAAAGTCTGACTCTTATCTCCAATTAAGCACCAGAAAACCAGAAGTGGTGGTGTGGCTCAAATGGTAGAGCACTCGCCTTGAGCTGAAGAGCTCAAGTTCAAGCCCCACAACCCACCAAAAAAAAAAAGTCTGGGGAATTCCATTCCACTTTGGTCAAATTTATCGCATCTTACTCTTGTCTACTGCTGCCCCTAAAACTACAGTTAGCAATTTCTGTATGTCCCTATGAATAAAGCTGCTCTCTGTGTGCTGTGGTCTTATAGTATACCTTGTCCAATCATTCTTACAGTTGTATCTATCTTTATTCTCCCTGGCATGCCCATGCAAGATACATCTTTTTCTTTTTCTTTGTTTTTTGGTCGGTCATGGGCTTGAACTCTGGGCCTGAGCACCATCCCTGTGTACTTCAGCTCAAGGCAAGCGCTCTACTGCTTGAGCCTCAGCGCCACTTCCGGTTTTCTAGGATGGTTTATTGGAGATAAGAGTCTCGGACTTTCCTGCCCGGGCTGGCTTTGAACCGCGATCTTCAGATCTCAGCCTCCTGAGTAGCTAGGATTACAGGCGTGAGCCACTGGTGCCTGGCCCTCTCTTTCTTTTTTGTCCTTGACTGGGACTTGAACTAAGTATCTGATGCTTTTGCTCATTAGCTGATGTACTACCACCTGAACCACACCTCCATCTTTATGTATGTATGTATGTATACACATATACATGTACTCAGGGTCTGTGTCCTGTCCCATAGATTTTTCACTCAAGTCTAGTACTCTTATCACTTAAGCCACAGCTCCACTTCCAGCTTTTTGTGGTTAACTGGAGTTTAGGATCTCAAGGCCTTTCCTGCCCTGGCTGGCTTCTGAACTGTGATCCTTAGATCTGTGTCTCCTAAGTAGCTAAAAATATAGGTATGAGCCACCAGCACCTGGGTCTTTCAATTTTTTATTTAATTTACTTAGTTTGCTTCCAAGTTCATTCTTCTTCTCAAGTTTTGTTCATATTTGAACATCCTTTTAAAATTTGGTTGTACTTTCTGAAAATGGATTGCTTGACTTTGCCTCTGGTACATCCTGTTCTTTTCTCCATTCAAGTTGTTCCTAACATAACAAAAGCAAGCACCTTTGTAGCAGCAAACCAGACAAAAGTTTTACTTACAGGATGGTAGGAAATTGCATGATCTTTACAGTAAACTAAGGCACTAGCCTGTTAAGGACTGTAGTACTGGAGGCATGGTTCAAGTGGTACAGCAGCTGCCTAGTGTGAAAAATACATGTGTTTTTTTTTTAATCAAAGTGTAGTGTAATCTTGAGAGAAGTCTTTTTCTGAAGTGTTCGTGTGTCTTAGCCCTTGTTAATTACAATTTAGTTATATACATCTTTTTCCTGAGCACTTTAATTAAGACAGCCTGTTAGAAGCTCCTTGAATTTTAGTTTGCATCCTGTTAATTAAGCCAAATCTTTCTACAGATTATGAACATGAGCTCAGCCAAATACTTGGGAGAATGCATTAACAGAAAATAGCCAGAAAGTTTCTGATAGTTATTTCAAGATTGATGATGAGAACTTATTGCTGACTTCTGTGCCAATTTAGAGGCAAATTTATTCCCACCAAAATATTAGGCCAGTTGCAAGTTGGTCACACATATAGAACTAGTTACTCAGGAGGCAGAGATCAAAAGGTCACAGTTTAAGCCCAGCTTGGGCAAAAACTTGTTGAGACCACTACCTCAACAGAAAAAGCTGGGCATGGTAGAACAAACCTGTCATAAGTAGGAGGATCACAGTCCTAAGCCAGCCTGGACAAGAAGTGAGTACTTACTTCAAAAAAAACAAAAACAAAAAAACATATTCAACCAGATCAGAAGGGACTAAAGTAGTGCATGTGTCAAGCCATAGAGTGCTTTCCTAGCAAGTACACATCCTGGCGTTCAAACCTCAGTACTGCTAAGAAACTTAAAATATATATATTAGGAGCATAACTACATAACTGAAGCAGAGTTGGATTTTTTTGAAAAGTCTCATTAGTCAATAGTGCTTATTAAAAGACATATGACAGGGCTGGGAAGGTGGCTCAGTGGTAGAGCGCTTGCCTTGCATGCCTGAGGCCCTGGGTTCGATTCCTCAGCACCACATAAGCAAAAAGAAAAAAGCCGGAAGTGGCGCTGTGGCTCAAGTGGTAGAGCGCTAGCCTTGAGCTGAAGAGCTGAGGGACAGCGCCCAGGCCCAGAGTTCAGGCCCCACGACCGGACCCAAAAAAAAAAAAAACACATGACAATAAAAGTCACCTTGTATAAAGACAAGCAGTGCACTTGTGTGGAAGGCGCTCGCCCATCCTGCAGGAGTAAAAACTGACTTGAAAAAGAAGAAAACCCTAAAGAGTTGGAATAACTTGCCCCAGAAAACTCAATTCCAAACATCTCCTGACTTAGCCAAATCCAGAGCTCTCTCAACTCTGTCCAGATGTGCTCCTCCTCCCAGAACAGGCCTATATAGTTCCCCCCCAAAACAGTTCCCTATTGCTACACGTGGAATGGCTCGAAACGGACTTGCATTTTTTCCCCAATCTCTTTCATCAGAGAAGTCTACATATCAGAAAGTATTGAATATGAATACTTTTTTGTTGTTTTTATTTTTTTACTCATTCTTTTATTCCCCCCCCCCCCGTCGCCCCCCTGAATATGAATACTTTTTGTCAAGACCAAAAACCCCTATGCAAAGATAAGAGGCTAAGTCAAGTCCTAAAAAATCTCTCCTTGAGAAATATCTCATGTAAATAATTCTTAATTCAGCTACCTTTTCCAAAGGA